AGGGGCGAATTGTTGTCGGATCAGCTTCCTACAACAGATGAGCATGGAATACTAGTAGGCAAATATTCAATCAGAAACTTACACTTGTCAAACGAAGATAATTTTTTTCTAACTTTTGACATGTACCAATTATTGTTTTTTGTTGACTGGAAGGAATGGCGACATCGGGAGCTTGAATCTAAACAAAAGCATAAAACAGATCAAAGATGCTACGCTGCATGCGGACAAAAAACAACTAAGCTTGATTTGTATTAGTGAAAAAGCTTTCTAATTCGATGGAACTTCATATGCGTTCTCTCTCCCTTAACGTCTCTGCGACAGTCATGTTCAATGGTCTACAAAGCAAATGCCAGTCGAAACTACTGAACTGACCGGTTTGAACTCTTTTACAGTTTCTACTAATGACGCTTGTTCGGTAGTATTTTCTGACTGTTGCTGTTCATCGTTATTAAAACGATTTCGACGTTTTTCTAATCGTTCACTTAGCTCTTCTTTTGATCTAAAAAGAAGTCAATTATTGCAATCCTTTATACCTTACATGCATCTCTACTCACTCTTCACCATCGATCGTTGCTTGCACCTTTTTAATTTGTTGTTTTGCACGACGTTGTTGCTGTTGAGAATAACGATTCATATTTTTAGAACGTTTACGACTACTACTGTTGAAAGATGTGTTCGATGGACTTGAACTACGTCTACAAGTAGAAAGACAATAAATGACTGTTTTGATGATCATCTTCTCGTTCAAAAATGCGGGGCACTGTTTTTCACGTCCCATCTCGTTGTATCCCATAAGGACTTCGTCCCGTCAAAAATTTTCTAAAACCGGTCCCATCCCGTCTTCGCTATTATTTCCGACACCATACTAGCACACAGCTAACAGTTTTGCAGCACTTTTTTTTTCCTGTAAACTACTTGTGAAATGAGAAGAATGTTTTGGCCGATGGTGGGAACGAGGTATGACACATAGATGGCACAGAAGAGGGTTTGACGGTGTGGACGGACTAGTATCGATGTCATCAATTTTTCTCTTAAAATTCAACCTGATCTGACCATCTGCAAATGGACATTTGTGATGATTCAAACCACTCTTTCAAAACGTATGTGATAAGACTTCTTGCGGCTAGCCATCTTACATGAAACTCACCATCTTCATCTGCTTCGGAAAGCCGAGTGTCTATCATATTGATGATTTTGTTTCAAACGGACTATCAACAATTTTAAACTTCAACAGTTTAGCGTCACTCCAACAAAAAATAGTAAAAAAAACGTTGAATTTCAACATCGTTCAACTTTCTATCTCGCGCACTGTATTGAACGAATTTTCTCGCTCCAGCGAATTTAACTAGGAAAACCTATGATTATTCGTTAGGACGTTAGTGAATACAATTTTGAAATAGCAGCTCTTAACCCGTCTCGTCTCATGAGCATTTGGTCCCGTTTCATCAAAAATTTTCTGGAATTTATCTCGTCGTGTACCGTCCCGACGATTCGGATCGGGGTTAAGACTATCCTGCGCAACTCTGTTCTCTTCACTACACACATTAAACTAGAATATATTCGACTACAAGTAAGAAGCAACTGTCCATGTTGATGAAAAGTAGTGAGACTTAGTTCACTGACTCAAGACAAAAATATCTTTCCGTCATATTTGATCACTACTATGATAGCACACTTTTCATTTCGACTTCAATATGAATTGATTGACTCGTCCGACGATGACGTTGATGGACGTTTCTCTCCATTTTTGCTGTTATTCGATACATTTTGCTCAAATTCACTCTACAATGGCGACAATGTCGATGTATTATTTTGAGAACGTCTTATTTTATTCAAACGTGAAAGATCTTTTACATTTCCATCTAAAGAGGGGGAAGAGGAAGATGTGTTGCTCGATCTAGCAATTTGAATTAAATCTGCTGTCGTCGAATCAATCAAGAGATTTGTTCTATCGACAGAAGATGATGTCCAGCTGTTCTGATTGTTAAAACGATTTTAACATGCTGTAAGTAAAAACCTAAACAAAAACAATCGTTATGGCTATCACTTCTCAACTAATAACCAGACTTACTCTGGAAATGGTTCTTCGTCCAATCTATCGTTTATACAGTATTTTTTTGAAATACTTCGACCAAAATGTCTTGTAACCATTCTTCAACCTGTGAGCGCAATAGTGGTGTATAACAAATATTCTCAATTGAAGTATTTTCTGGACAAAAAACGAGCAATACAGTTTGTTAGTAGAGAGCGTTGCAACAGGGAGACCCACTTCAATGTTTCTGGCCAATTTTTTCTATCATACACTAATGTGAATGCTTGTACGGCACTCGTTGGTTTTTATTGAATATCGACAGTATCCACGTTGTCATCATCTGGAGCTCCAAAAAAGCAAGATGCTTTGACACATCCAGTGAGGACGAGCCGACCTGTTTATAGGAAATCTATTTTCGATAGTTAGTTTATCGATAACAATACGGGAGCAGGGTGCGTGAGCACATGCTTTGAAGATGTATCGATCTGTCGTGCCCTGTTGATCCCTAGAAAATCTGGTGGCACGAATTGAAGAACCTGAAGTTGAACCTGCCATAAATTCGAAAGCAGGGTGTGATAGTCTGACATAAATATTGATCATTAGTGTATGAGCACCAAAATCTCGAGGTATTGGACGAGAAGATCGATCTTCCAAATTGACCATTTTTTATATCCTACCCACTTTATCTGATGGCCAAGATGAAAAGCGTCGGTGATTATATGAACTGTATTCTCGGTTCTTGGCTATAAGCGGTCACAAAGTCTTCGCTATTGAGATAGTGGAGCACCTTTCTGGTCTGTCATTCATGTGCGAGCATGGATATTTTATAAACCCTGTCACGTGTTGATTTGGTTTAAGCAACTTTTTCGATTTTTGATTTAATTGAAAGTAAGGGATCACACTGAATGTCAGTAATATATTTTTTTCGTGTCTCATCGTTACTCAACTGACTTTACTCACTGTTAATACTTTGAGAAATTATGAACTAGCTTCTGAGATATTCCATCATGTTCTTATAAATACCAAGAACCAGTTTTCTTCGTTCACTATAGCTATCGCGCACGAATTATGTTGAAGTTCTTTCACTAGAAACTTTGACTATCCAGAGTTTTTCCTTCTAGTTGAAATATAAAATTTCCGTTAACGTCATTTCGAATTTCATTGTCAGAATCGCATTCACTGAGCGAAATTGAGCGTATTTTCTCGATATTTAAATCGCAAAACGTAACATAAAATACTTCTTACGATGATGATTGATCATTTTCATCGTTGTCTTCAGCTTCCAATTCATCATCATCATTATCATTTCTGTTAACGTGTCCTGCACTTTGTGCACGAATGTTCGATGAAACAACTATTGATGGGTTACTATTTTCAATTTGATGAAAGTAGCTATCTGACTGATTTCTAATAACTTTATTTTGGATTTTTTTCTAATAATTATACTACGGAATTAAGAAAAACTGGCGTATTCCAAGAAAATTATGTCTCTAACAGAGCTATTTAAAATATTTAAATTTCTTATTTCATTACCAATATATGTATAAGCAGCTTTGTAGTTTACATTTTGAAATTATCCGAAAAAAATATAGATTTTATAATTGTTTATCCTGGACAAATTATATTAACTGATGAATTTAAGAAAAATATAGTTGAAATATTAATAAAATTATTTAATTTAATATATTTTTGTCAACAACGACTGATAAAGATGGTACCCTTAACTATACTCAAGGAGATAACGCAGATTTTGAATCTAATGCTGCGCGTATTATATTCGAAATATTACTTTTAATAAACAGTATATTTCAAATTGAATCTGTAAATGAAATAGCTGAGCAAGAAATACCCATTGTAAAATTAATATTAAGTAGAAGCGAAAATCAACAATTAGACAACTTTATTAATTATATGAAAATAAAAGAACTGATTCAATCAATAACATTAGTAACATAGGCTAAATTTCTATAAAAAATGGGTGAATATGGTAAAGCAGAAATATATCTTAAAATGTTATTAGAAAAACATCTTTCAAATGAAGGTGAATTGAGTTTAATTTATAATAATACTGATGCAATCTGCAATGATAAAGATGATTGTATAACTGCAGACTCTCCTTGACCTAACAACGCAAAAACCATATTAAGAACTCCCTTATACTTTTTCATTTTTGCTGATTCTCTTTAATTAATAAGCAGTTGCATGGACTCGTACATTAAAATCCGTTAATTTCCTGAAGCTTTTCGATCATCAGGTTACACTTGGGTGGATAATTCTATGGCGTCGCCAAAACATATTCCATAGTATAATTATGATCCCACAAAATCGGACATATTTATGTCAGAAAAAGAAAATGATTCAGCACCCCCTTGGTAAAGTGATAAGTGGGTTATTCTTCTTCGACGTTGTTCAAAAGTCTTTGCAATAAATTCCTTCTAGACTATGAGTAGAAATTTATTTTATATTTTCTTTTCTTGTATATTGATCACAGCTAAATGTTTTTCGCTTTTTTCAAACATCTTGCTGAAGTTTTTACCAGAGCAAGCAGCAAAAACTACCAAAAATCGAAACGTTTTTCTCAAAATGTTGAGAAACTCTAGCCTATTGAGTCTTGTGGTTCTCGCACCTTCTGATTGATTTGACGTTTTTTTATTGTTTGAAAGAAGCCATGATTAAAAGAATTTTAACAGAAAATGAATATTTCAAAGCAAATGGGGGATAATGTCAGTTTCTATTAAAACCTTGATGGTGACCAATGTGGTTTCAATATGAGAAATGCTAGAAATAAAGAAAACTGGTCATCATGCCAAAACATGTTGTCGTATGTGCGCTGTATTGCTGTTAATACGGCGCACACAAAAATTCTCAGTAAAATTCATAGAAAATTATGCAGGCTTGAATGAACTTAACAGTGCCCGGCCTTTGATTTAAGTTTCTGGTAACATTTGGTACGTACTATGACTTGAAAATCTGGTCTACTTGCACTTTTTGCAGAAACTCTTATTTTTATAAAAACAAAGATTAAATCAAAAATCGGGGTTTTGTCAGGTTCTAGCCATAAAAGTTTCGTACAAAGCAAAAGATCATTCCTTTCTGATTGATCGCTACGGAGAATTCTTGCATGCGGCAAACGACTTAAAGCTAAAGACTACTTAAACCCCCCGTCCACATTAGAAGCCCAGTGGGCTTCTATTATGTCAAAAAGTACTCTATGGGAGCAGGGGCAATTTTCAAAAAATTTCTTGCCAGACTGGGCTTCTAATGTGAGAGAGAGTTTAAGGCAGAAAGAACACTAAGACCATACCGAATGTTTTGAGCTTGAAGTAGTACTCTTATAAATTTTGATCAACGCATATTAGAGAGTCGATAACACCTCATTCACGCTGAATGTTCTCCTCTACAAAAGTGTATTTGTTATTGTAGTTCCATTGTCTGAACAATCTTTGAGATCAAAAGATGCATCTTTTGAACTGAATTGAGTTGATTTCAACATCTAATCATTCTATAGAAAAATTCTGTTAGAAAACGTTTGCTCAAATCATATGTTATGAGTCCAGAATACAATTTTTGGACATAAATAACGTGGATAAAAGTGTTCTGTCAAAGTATCTCATAATCTATGGCACATTCGTTCTTAGTATCATCCATTTTTTTACTTTTTAAAAAAAATTTTGTTGAAAATTTTCTTGCTTTAATTTTTTTTAAACTTTATTTTCGAAAAGTGCTTAGATTTAGACTGTGCGTGAATCTTCATTGTTTTACATAATGCTTAGACAGTTGAGAGTTTTTGGATCTAATGATCTGGTAAAAAGGGTTTTATAATGGATGTCCATCAGGAGAGGGGATTAAAATGTTAGACTTCTTATAGACGTGCTCAAAGTATTCTCTCAAATCAAATGTGAAATTTAGATGCTGCGTTAAAGACTTATAAAGATATACTTAATGTTCGTAAAAAATTGTTAACAAAATACGACAGCAACAACATACAATAACATAAAGATGGTTTACCTTGATAAACACATATATACTCAAGCAATAGCGAATATGAAATATGCACTTGAAACTTAAACAAATCATCATTACCTGATGATCATTTTGATATTGCTGGAACATAAAAGAATATGAGATAAGTCTATGATAATATTGCATATAATGGAAATGACATTGATAGATATAAACCAAAATTAGAATGTTACAAAAATGCTCTAAAAATTCACATCAAGCATCAGAATTATCAAGATATAACGATAAAATATGATAATATTGATGTAAGTTATTATAATACGGCAGATTATAAAAATGCATTAAAAAGTCATGCAATAACTTTTAATATTCGGACACAGCATTTAGAATTAAATCATCCGGATTTTTACCAGCAATACAAAAAAAATCCTATGATAGAGCCAGTGATTTTTATAAGAAGGCTATTTAGTATATATGCTGATTCTACTCCGACTTTTGATAGAATTGAGGATCTTGTTATGACATATAATAATGTAGGAGCACTTGAACTCAGAAAATGTAATTATTCAGATGCCTTGGCATACTTTCAAAAGGATACAGCTATTGGAACAAAATTATTGTCATCTAAGGACGAACTACTTTTCCAAGTTCAAAATAACATTTTATTTATTGAAGAAACGATGAAACAAAATTAGCCAAACGCACTTTATTGTTCAAACAAAACTACTCTCACTGTCTTGAAGAAAAAATGATTAGAGTCTAGGCGCTATAATTTCTGCGTTACTTTTCTCTATGTTACTATTGTTTCGTCACGAATATGAATAACAACCTTGCTGTATACGAGTAGACAAAACACTGAGCCGAATATCCTTAAAATGTCATTGCAACTGATAAAATCATGTATAGATGGGTTCCTTATTAAGATTAAGATATGAAAGGTTTTATTAGACAGGTTATAGAATACGAAAATCATACTGTAGATCGAATGCTGTTCCAGAATATGAAGGGTAGTTGTAATAGCTTTGTATTCTAACAATTCATGGCGAGATGATAGATTCGTAAAACACGTAAAAAAAGTTCATTTTTTGATATCGAAGAAGAAATCTTATCGAAAATATGAATCTTGTATATAGTTGGTTTCTTTTTTATGTCTTTTGTTGTTTAACTAAACTGTTAACAGAACGTCCTCCAGAATTTTTCCGTGCCACATGGAAGAACATCATTTTTTTCAACAAATTTTCATTCTGTTCTTTTTAAGAGACCTTGCGGCTTTACATTCTTCTATTATTCTCGATATCGCCTGTATATCACATGTTCTTTCCACTTTAAGATCGAGATTTTAAGAAAAGTTGAAACTTCAGTTTCATCCATTTAATATTGTATAGAATCTCATAGAATACACAAATGTTTTATGTAAAGTTCTGCTGATACGTTTTTCTTCGTTTTTTCCCACCAGGAACATTTGTCTGGGTTATCAATATATGTATATTTACATTTCATTATGCACTGTCGAATACTTGAATAAAAGAATACCTTAGATTTTTTTCAAAACAAAAATTAATTTTTCTTTCTTTCGTTTCTTAAGCGGATTTCTTTGTATATGTGTGAACTCATTTTAACTAACAAAATGACGCCACCCCACTATATTATATTTTTACGTATTTTAATCGTTTTCTTCTTTGTTCTGTCTTATGTTCGAAAGACCGACTATTGACCGACAGATCATGGTGAAAGAAAAATGAAAACGTTAGTACCAACAACTGTCGCATTCACTACCATCACTACTCAAGATATACATAACAAATAGTTTTTGATGTAATTGAACAAAAGAGAGAGAAAAGAAAAAATCACCTGAACATTTTATCAATATGTGTAGAAATGTTGATATAGAGATGCAACGTAATGTGGTACCACATTGTTCACATCTTGTGCATTGACAATAAAAGTTATTTTCCTTTTCTTATAATGTTGAACTGGAGAGGAATGTTAAATAATGCAAAACAAATGTCAGATGATCTTTTGGTAAGCTAAAAACTGACGCAAAGTTTGATAAATATTTTATGACTCGAAAATCAAGGAATTAAGAAGTAAATACATTCTCTATACTTCAATTTTGAAATCTCAAAATATAGAAATAATATGTGATCGTTTGAAATCAGCGCTTGAATTTAACTGTGACAAAGTTTTCAAATGATTTTGATTAAAAATTAGTACTATAATTAGGTTATTTTAATTTATTTGCAAGTCTATTCTAAATTTTCCATTAAAATGGTAGTCGTAAGTTCTATATCATCAGCGAGCATACGTTCTTTCATAGTATCATGCTTTCTATAGATTGAAGAATTTAAGTTTATTAATGCTGTTTTACATATTCGAACGTAACTGCTTTGGATAAGATTGCGCTATGGATACGAGTTGCTGTATTAAATAATAAAATGCTAAAGAACGAACCGATCCTAGTAAAATTTATTGTGACTAAGATTTTGAGAATTTTTTTGTCAATATTGAAGACACAAGAATCATGGGCCCAAGATTGACATTTCTTGTATTACGATCTTGATAACAAATAGTTTCAATGTGAAAGTCAGTCAGGGCTTAATAAATATTTCAATTGTAGTCACTTAAGTAGACGCCTTCACAGAATAGAAGAAGAATGAAAGATTTCAAACTTTAGAAAAAGCACGATCGTGTGGTGTTCTCCTACCTGATTTAAATCGTTATCATTCACCACTTAAAAAGATTTTACGATTGTCTAGATTTCTGATCTGTTTTTCCATCTGAACGTCGTTCTTACGCCACAGAAACTAATCGAATTTTCTACGATAAATCACACAGGAATTGTGCAAAAATCCTACAGGATGAAAACAATAAAGGAATCTTGAGAGTCTCCCGTTTTGGCAAGAGCCCCGAGGGTTTTTGGCAAAACATCAACAAAATTCTTCAAGCGTCGTGTTGATACAAAAACCCTCAAATTTTCATGAACTTTCCGCAACTCCCGCTAAACTACGCATGACAATTTTTTCTTCTGTCGACGCAAATAGTATACGAGAGTCACTAATTTTATTACAAATTTCTTAAGTTTTTCCGGCACGTAAGTGACTGAAAACTAAAAGGTTGGCTTAAAGCAACCTAGACTGAGGACGCAATATTTCCGATTTTTGATGAGAATTACATCGGTTCCAGTCGTTACCAGGTTGTATATGTATCGGTATCGACTACAGCCAGAACGGATACCAGTTCGCATATGTCCTGATAAGTTCATGATTCAAACCGATCAAAACTTTCTTTTGAACAAATAGATGAAATACCGAAATGTTAACTTAAAAATGGAAAATAACAAAAAGAAATTGTTAAAGTGAAAAAATCCCGCGAGATTTTTTCCGAGATTATTGAATAGGGAAGCGAAACAAGTACAGTCGACTTATTTCTGACATAAATTAGATGCTGTATTGCGTTTTAAGTGGATGGCGATAATGTATGCGCAAACATGAAATTTAAAAAACAAACACTTTTGTTTGAATTTTTTAAGTTCGATACGCAATGTCTCTGCTTCTTCTAGAATTTTAGTTTTTTTTTTCATGTAAAAAAAAGATAAAGATATGATCTGTGAACATATAAGCCTTTAATCGAAGAAAAAATTCATTATAAAAGAACGAATCTTAGACATTTTTGGCCAAACTGTCTCTCTATTCGTGTATGTTAATTCTGGAACAGCAACAAAAAAAATCGAAACGGCCTCGTACTTATGTGATTGTATTTTATACATATATATCGACACTTGAAGTGAGTAAAAGAAAGAACAACAGAAAGAAAGAAAGGCACACTTTACTCTTGTTCTTCATCTTTCCTACATTTTGAGACCATTCCCGATAGAATAGAGAGATAAAGATAACTTTAATCCCCTCTTTTAGTAGTAGTGATCATTATCATTATCATTGTTATAAAAAAAGTTGATTCTTAAGTATCTATTATGCATTTGTCTCGGCGATCGTACAGATTGAAAGTGAGAGAGAGAATAGAAAAACAGTTCTATCTTTTTTTTTTTCTCATTTTTGACAATAAAATATGTATATTGGATTATATATTAGCATCAGCAGTAACAACAATATAGAACAATAATAAAATAACACCGAGAAACAAGGATTATTTTTTTGGAGTATGTGATGGTATGTGTCTAATACAAGGTTAGAGATAGAGAGAAGGCTTATTTGTTTTCCGAAACTTAATATTCCAAACGACTACTGATATTTTTTGAATAAAGAATCTGGATCTAACCAACTGTTCTATATATAAAGTAAGAGAAGATCTCTGTTTTTGAACGTTCCACAGATATGTGGAGTGATATCTTCAGAAACTAATCAGTGTCTAAACAGATGTATTTTCAGTACAGAAATTTGATCGATTGCATACGGTTTGCGTGACATCTTGAGTAATTAATTGTTTTCAATACAAATATGTGACAAAAACTAGATGCATAGATCTTTGCTCACTTTCTTCAATTAATTACTCAATTTTGTATTTTAGAATCCTCCATAGAGAACAATCGATGACTTCAAATAAAGCAAAACGGTATTTACAAAATAAAAATGTCGTTGAACAACACTCATTTTTATCACCACCGCTAGCACATCGAGATGTTGAACACCACAAAAAACAATATAAATTTACAAGTCGTCGACCATCGTATCAAAAACAAGATTTAATACCACCTATTATTTGTGTTGATAAATCAACTGATAATGAACAAGAGGAAGAGGAGGCCGAGGTGAATAATACAAACACCATCTTGGACGAATTTGATCGTGTTTTGGATAATGAACTGATCATGTCAACATTAAATGTACATCGAACATTTTCATTGAAACAGCAACCACAAGAACATCTTGCTGTTTTAAATCAACCGAGAAGTTTTTCATTTGCCCTTGGTTCATCAACAAAAAATTTAGATGACTCTTCCTCTTCATCTTCTTCTACCGCCTCATTGTCATCATCCTCCAGGAAACTGCCACGTGCATCACCAACAGCATATTCAAGCAGTGGAAAAACAAGTTTATCAAAAGAAACATTTTCACGTTTATTAGCATCATTAGCATTTCGTCAAAAGAAACGATCAGTAATTAATCGAACACTGCAACCTTCACAAACATGTTCATCTTGTCAAAATCGCACATATTCACAATTAGAGCCAAAACATAAAAAACGACCTTCTATATTTGGTGCTCTCGTAGCAAAATTATCCACAAATGTGGAGTCGTCTACTCCCGATTCAACATTCTCGAAACATTGTCATTTATGTAAAAATCAATCAGCAAAATCAATATTTCATAATTCACTGTTAATCGATGCTCATCATCCGACATCAATATCATCGACTGAACAACAACAACAACAACAAACAACTGTTGTATCATCATCATTCACTAATGATAGCAATAAAAATTATTTTTCATCATCTCTATCGAAAAAAAGTCGCCTTAATTTAAATGCTCGAACTAAACGTCGTCGTAGTTTGCCATCTTTATTTCATAGTCTATTTGATTTTGATTCATCCGAGAATAAAGCGGCTCGTCTTATTATTGATTCATCATCATCTTCACAACGTCAACGCCAACGACTATCATCATTTTCAAGTATATTAACAAACAGTCTACTCGATAGTATGCCATGTGATTCAGGAACAAATCATTCGTTGACCAAAGTACAAAATATCCATTTAATAAATCAAAAAACAACAACAACAACAACCAACTCTTCCTCAACATCATCAATGTCAAATATTTCGAATCTAGATGATGATGGCGGCACTGATGATGTCACAAAAATATTAGAACATCGAAGTCATGTGGAAAATGAGATTAATCAAACCACAAATTTACTAGTATGTATACAAATTTCTTGTGTTTTAAATTGCTCAGATGAATTAATTCTAATTCGCTTTAAATCGTTTCTCATTAATTTATTTTTTAAAACTTAAATTAGAAATGGAATCGTAGAGCAAACATGGTGACTATTTTAATCTATTTCCCATCACTTTTCGAATGGTGTGCTTAACCTTTGATATATAAAATTAGTAAGAATATCAAGTTAACTAGCCGAGGAAATTGTTTAATTTAAGATTGACTTTATTTGTGTATCATCATGATAATCATAACAATAATAGAAATAAATCACTAACTAAAAGTGTCTGTATGTGGTCGCCTTGAACATATTTTGTCTACTAAACGTCTATGAGAGAAAAGTCATACGCCTTTTGGTTTTGTTTACTTCCGTCGATATCGTTTAAGGTTTAAAAAATAATGATGACGACGATGAAGTGTTAAGACGTTATTGTTGTTATTTGACCTTGACTTTATTTTTAGTACATATTTTTGAGGATTAACACACACGACAAAAAGTCATACTCTATTAGAAATTGATCTCGCTTCTATGTAGTAAATAGTTAACAAATATTTAACATATACAAGTCAATAATTGTGTCAAATAAATCATTATATTCATTTACAGACGTTAATAATGATATGCTGATATTACATAGATGACTTTAGTGAATAGACTTCTTTTGATATAATTACTGATTTACATGAAACAAATACAGAACGACATGTGTTTTATTGAGAAAACAAACATTTTAAAATGAAAATAAAAGAAATATATTTTTTAATTTAAGCAATTTGTCCAAGTTATTTAAATGACATTGTATGTTCATTGTATCATTGTATCTAAAATAAATGAGTCTTTTAAAGTTTTCTTACGGACAAAAAACATCTACATTTTGTCTCAGTTCATCCAAGTTAGTTGTTAATTCTTTGGTACAATAGTTTACATGATTAAAATCTAATCAAATAATTAAAGATCACTTTGGATAGATTTCTGACTGTAGAAAATTGAATTTTAACTTCTTGAGTAAACTGGACGATCAATATAAATTATTTTTGGTTTGAAATTCGAGATGTTGGCTGTGAATAGTAGACGAATATATTCTTTTCTTATTTATTCGTCAAATATCAACTATTTCGCAATGTCTCTGAGAAAGCATTTGAAGGACTTTTCAAGAACTCATACAAATGACATTGTTGTCTTCATATCTGTATAGACTATTATTGTACTCCATATATACACATTTGGGTATGTATGTTTATGTTTATTATTATTTTGTATATTCTCTTCACAAATCGTGCAGACATTTTTACGTTTCAGTGTCAGACATGATAAAAGTTAATCAAGATTTATTTTCTTCACACACACACACACACATACACAAACACACATTTAAATATAACTGTTGTTCTTTTTATCTAAATAGAACATAATATTCTATTCTTCTCTCATCATCAATTATATAGGACAAAAATAGAACATTTTGCACTCGTATTACGATTGTTTTATTGCCTAAGAATATTTTGAAAGAGAATAAAAGAAAAGAAAAAAAATCGATGATACTCATAAGTTTAAACTACGATACATATTTTTTCTACAGTGTCTATATGATGATTTATTGCGAAAGGAAATGCTCGGACCTGTCGACAGTACAGTGTCTATATAAATTCATCATGTTATCTCTCTATTATTCAAATTGGCATAGTAATAATACTAAAACGATTCGTAAAATGTTCTGCTTTACTATAAATCAATAAGTAGATAATTAAACAGGGTGTCAATTAGTACAATGTAAGAAGAAATGTTCAAAAAATACATAACTATTTCCTCACTATTACATAGAATAGGGATGAAGACTGTTATTATTCAAAATTTTCTCACTTCACATATCATAGTGTATTTTTTTTTTATATGAAATTTAATTAATTGAGACTGAACCTTTTAACATCGGAATATGAGATAATATGAACCAGTTTTCGAAGAAATCTATTCTATACATGTCCATTTCTGTGTTGTACTAAAAGTGTCTCACTAATCTATTATACTTTAGTTATCAGTCACGGTCTTATATTTGAATGTGCAATCGTCCTATGCTAGAAAATATATAAGCATTTTTCTCTCAATGGGCTAGATTAGCCTTCCAGTTTGAGTGAAAACATCATATCATGTATATACTTATAATCTAAAACTTCATTTCAGTGAATATTTATTACATTTCAATTATAATCAAAGAAAAACGTCTACTTGACTGTGACCTCTTTTCTTCGAAGCAGGACATAAAGAGCTGCTACTATATAGTCTTGAAAATAGAAAAGAAATCATATGTCCTTCATCTCATTCTCTTGACTTGTTCATATATGTATATAGACTATACGTATGTAGAAAAGTGAAAAAAGATAAACTATTGTGGTTCAACTATTAATTTCCAATCTTTAAGTGTTTGTGCATACATGCAAATAACTCTATTATGAGATAGAGAGAGAACGAATTCTAACTAGTCATGAGAGAAAATAAATAATCGGACTTAGTTAATCGATATTGGCTTGAAAAACCGTAATGAAATTTTGTGTTAAAGAATTGTTTTACAGTACAAATTATTCAAAAAGAAAAGTGATATTTTTTTGTTTTTTCTCGGCTACTAACTCGATAGCCTTATATAGAATTAATTTTACATAAATTTTTTAGCGATAAATGTAAATCGGAAAGAAAATAATGTTGATGTCATTTAATTAAATTAAATTCGTCTGATGTTAGGCATCATCGACTGTTTATTTGATTTCTAAAAATGACGTATTAAGAGAAATAAAATATAATATGATTTATTAAAATAGAAAATACTAAATATGTATTGTTACAAAAACAGTTATACATCACATATGATAAACTTAGCGCTCTTGTTAAACGTTTCAAACGGCAGTTATTAGTCTTGAGACAATGCTTATCAAAGCGTTGAAATATGGTTACATGTTGTTAAACGAATAAAACATAATTTACTAACGTTTTAGTTCTATGATGTGATGACCAGTTTTCTTTATTTCTAGCATTTCTCATACTGAAACCACATTGGTCACCATCAAGGTTTTAATAGAAATTGACATCATCCCCCATTTGCTTTGAAATATTCATTTTCTGTTAAAATCCTTTTAATCATGGCTTCTTTCAAACAATAAAAAAACGTCAAATCAATCAGAAGGTGCGAGAACCACAAGACTCAATAGGCTAGAGTTTCTCAACATTTTGAGAAAAACGTTTCGATTTTTGGTAGTTTTTGCTGCTTGCTCTGGTAAAAACTTCAGCAAGATGTTTGAAAAAAGCGAAAAACATTTGGCTGTGATCAACATACAAGAAAAGAAAATATAAAATAAATTTCTACTCATAGTCTAGAAGGAATTTATTGCAAAGACTTTTGAACAACGTCGAAGAAGAATAACCCACTTATCACTTTACCAATCGCCACTCACAACTCTGTAGAGAAGATTAGTCTGACGGAGAGTTCTTTTGTACAATCACATGTAATATCCACGTATTAGCTCTCAGCTAGAGGATTTATGCTGTACGTCACAGCGTGCTAAGTATATATAATAGGACGAGTAAGCCGAAATACGTACACATGTGTAATTTGCCGAGAATTATTATCCGACTTGACCGTATAGGTGACCATGAAAAGTTAGAATTTTTCTCGTACTTTTGTATCAGAAAAGATCCTCGAGGAACTTGTTCCTTTTGTTTCAAAGCCTTGAGTTTTGAAATGTTTATTTCATGTGTAAAAGAAGCTAATTCGGTGCTTGTTCGATTGAGGACAACACGTCAAGTTTGTACTAATTTGTAATTTCTCACAGGGAAACAAATCTGGGGTACCATTTTTGCATTTAGAAAGTTGCCTAGTTAAAACTCCTGCTTCAGAAAACTGCTGTTTTGAAATGTCGTTATCGTAGACACTTATCGACATGTTTGGCAGCCTTCATATTTCCAGTTTGACCAAGAAGACGTTTCTTGGAGTGATTTTCTAATGGTTAAGAATTAAACTTAAATTCAACATCGGAAATACGCACTCCATTCTACTAGCTTTTAGAGAGATGGCGATTCGTGAAAAGAGTATTTTCACTATTATTTTAGTTTTCCAGTACCACTCACTCTAATTGATGTGAGGGATCTATCAATATCGTTAACAATTAGCAACAGACGGAATATCAATAAATAAATCAATAACAGATAGAGAAATATTGCAGACACAGTAAAAAGAAGATAATGTACATGGAGGTGTCTATATACAATTCATACAGCAAATATAATGCGATACATATGTGCATGTGTCTGTGTAATCTATAAAATTCCAATGAAAAAGTTTGTTACCTTCAGTGACGGATCTAGACTTTTTCTTTGGTACGTGCGGTACACGCGATGAAAGTATGAGGTACATGCGGTCACCATAGAAACAAATTTTTCTGACATAGTTCTGCTGGGAAGAAATAATTTTTTTGCTCGATAGATACGTGCGGCCGCGCATGTACTGCACAATGGCTGGATCCGCCATCAGTTACCGTTTACATTTCAGGAAGCCACAGATTAAGGGGTAGCTAATAATGGAAGGTGTTAATTTCAGTTTTTTCATTTCGCAATCAAATACATATGGAACCGATCATTACTGTTTTCGTTATAGGCTGTAACGTCAGTTTTTGACATATGGCAATAATCAGCAGTAGAAATAAATGTTGTTTGGCTGAGTTTCATAGAGTAAATAAAGTGAATAAGCGAAAACTGTCAGACGCTAGTTAATAGAAACTAGAAATTTATTGCATAGCTTCTAACGGACTCAACGAGTCCGTTTGTTCTAAAAGCACGTTTTTTCTTAAGATAAATATAGTTGCAGGTTGATTAAGAGAGCCATTCTCGGGATATATTATTTCTGTGAATTTACAGCAAAGAAGGTAGAATTTTATAAGATATAAAAATACCCTCCTTCAGTGGTATGAAACAGATTCTTAATGGAGTTGGTGACATAAGCCTTTTTGGGAATTCTAATGAGTTTTCAAAGCAACTAAAATCACCCTTTTCTGGTTTATAGAGGTGTTTTATTCTACGAAGTGTACTGAATTAAAAATGTAAGTAATACTATAAAAGTATTTTTATTCCATTTTCAATAATTTTGGCTCATTTTCAGTCAGTTCAAATTTTTGTTCCGAAGATTGTGATCGGTGAGTTCAGCCACTTTGGTGTTCATGATCCGTGATTTTTTATAACAGATAGAGTTTAGTTTGAAGTATATCTGTTGATGATCAACGCGTGTTTTTGAAATCAACGTATATTGTTAAGAATTAACAAATATTTTTCTTTTCTATCTAGATTAAATGACAGGCGAAGAAAATTTTCGAACTATACATAAGTTCAAAAACAACCTTTCAGTTCAAAAAGTGAATAAAAACGTTTTCTAAAGGTCTTGAGTTTTGAGCAGATCTTTACAGATTACTGGTTGTTTTGAGTTTTGGACGAAGTCGGTGTTTATATTATTTCTTAAAAATAAAATTCCTTCCGCTTAGTTGAGAAAAAGACTGTAAAAACATCATTTTATCTCGATCAGTTATCAAAAATCATCTACTAAAGTGAGTGAACCCAATGATCTTGACAATTTACATAAGCCTAGTTTGGAACAAATTTCTTAAGTTGCAAAATCGATTCAAATTATAATAGAACAATATTTTTATTCAGTGAAAAAAAGGGCGATATCAGTGGGAGATTGTTCACCATGTTCTATGTAGCATTTAAACCTATTTTGGCAATTATGTATGAATATTAAGAAATATCTCTTCTCTAATGCTTTGATTGGCAGTGTAGTAGCACATATTAATGTTATAAATCTTAATCTAATTAGAATCGTGACAATTCTCATCTCATACACACACCAGCTATATTAATTGTTTATACGTGTGACGTTTTGATGTTTTTATATGATTCAATTACAAAGGGATATGGTACAAATATATATATACAAACGGAGATAGTGTATTCCTTTTTATTTTTGTTATGAAAGTTGGAAAAGAGAATATCAAGTTCAAATCAATCATAAATGGAATTGAGTTTCATGACAGCAGTAGATATTCTTATCTAAACAGAATGATCAAATTATCGTTTTTGTACAGAGGTGCCAATAGAATAACGAATACGTCAAAGTCTTGAAGCACAATATGATCCTCTCAGAACTTTCTTCTACAGACTATAGTTTATAGGTATTTTTTGAAGTGAAGTAATATTTTTGATTTTACTATTGTCGTATATTCGCTGTGGTTCCGTTAAAACATACTGTTTTTATATCTTTCAGAGAGTTATAAAATATACTCAATAAAAGAAACGAGAATCATCCAGGTATAAAATTTTGATTCACTTTTATTCTTGACAACAAAAAAAAAATATTTGTAAATATGATGAAAACAGTCTATGCGATATGTTTGACGAATTTTATTAATGTCATACTGTAAAGAAAGATTTTTACACAAAATATGAGCGATATATTTTCAATAAAGAGTAAGACAGATACGAACATGGTTATAACACACGCATTTGTGCCATTAATGATGCAGGTCTCTATAGTTCCACAGATCAGAATTTATTATGATGTTGTCAGTTAAATGAATCTTTTGTGTATAGTGAACTATTATTGTTTTATTTCTTTTATTTATTCTATAGGTAAGCCTCAACAATAATCTTAACGATGAAATGAACAATCAGTCAGCAGAAGAAAAAAAAGGTAAGATAGAAAAAAGATTTTACGAGTTCCAGGTCTTTATTGATTACATTTTTCTAGACGAATTAGGATTAATTAAAATAAAAACACCTGAGAGAAGAGAGACAACCACAGTGGGTGAATTAAATTTAGCCAATTATCCAATGGCAGTGATCAATGATGGTTTATTATTTCCACCAGAGTATGTCTTAGCTATTGATACTTTTGAAATTTCAGTTTAAATGGCAGAGGAAAGTCAAAGAAAGGATATTATTTGCAGAATATTTAAGTCATCTTTGCTTCTTCTTATATACCAGATGTAGTCAAGTAAATGACGATAATTTCATTCAGTAAGGGAGAGCTAATTGATGTTTGAAAAAATTTTCTTCAAAAATTATCCAAAAACCCGAAAAATAACATAACACAATTAGCGTCATCTATCGAGTTTCGACTGTTGATGACACGCAAACTCAGTAGTATGGCATTACTAGATATACTTCTTAACACATGTCAGATTTAAGGAAGCCTTTATATATATATATATTTGAGGTATTTGAGATCTGTGCATAAGAGAAGAGAGCTTCTATTGGCGTTAAACTAAATTCTGAAAACAAACATTTAGTGTAACTCAGTGATTCATATAGAAAAACGAAAAAAAAAGAAATAAGGATAAAATGTGGGAAGAATCCGATGTTCTTTATTGACTTGGAAATGGAGACTTGAGAAACTCTTGGTTGGAAAAAAGTTTTTTCCTATCACTGTTATTGGAGCTCAGAAGCAATTAAGATAAAATAGGTATTCTAGTGTGTAAAGAACGACCGTAAAGAGTCAAGGTGCTTTAAGATTGAACTCTATTCAACATTCAAGTCCCTTGAAACAAGTACAGCTTCTCAAAAGATACTGTAAATACTTCCGAGCAGTTGGGAGAAGATTATAGACAAGCTCTTTTCCATTATTGAGCTCAAATACTTCATTTCTAGAGAAAAGAGCTGTTTTTTTATCACTATCAAACTCATTTCTCCCTTTTTAAAGTTAATTAAAGTCACACAGTTCATATAATTTCGAAATGCGAAATTTTCGTTATCAAATAACATTTGTATAACAAATTTTAAATTTAATTCTTCTACAAAAAGACATCGTATTGTTTGATCAGGATAAATGATACACAAATTATACGACATGGATACATATAAATATGTTATTGGACATAATATTTTTTTTCTAGTACAGATCATCGAATTTTTCAAAAAGAGAAATATTATCTGCTGTCTTATAGGTAAACTTGTTTTTTTATGCTAAATGGATATACAAAAATATTAAGAGAATACAATCTGTTGTTTTTTTTTCTTACGAAGAAAAAGAATGATGATAAATTTTTGATTTCATCATAAATACAATTGTCAGTTGATGTTCAATAATAATGTTAAAAATAAAAATACATATAAATTTAGTACATCAAAATTTAATAAAAAGAAAATTAATGGTTAAAAATTTATTATTACTTAAGAAAGAAACATTAACAAATAAACGATAACAAACACGATTCATGCTGATATGTCATCGATTTTAGATCTATGTGGATTTTGTAGACAAAGAAATGAGTAAGATTTACAAGCTGATATTATCTATATAAGAATAGATAGGTTAGTCTTGATGTAGATACAAATCCTATTTGCTTTCAAGGAAATTATTCAATTGCGATGTGATATATTTTAACCAAACTCTTGTCTCAATCATTCACTGACAATGTCAGAGTGATGATTTGAGCAACTGTCTTTTTAAGAGAACAGAACGTACAAATACATATCAGCTGTTTATTTCTCTTTTTCCCTAATATTACAACTTGTACAACTCTCTCTTTTCTCTACGGTTTTTGCTGTGTATTTTGAATGAATGAATGTGAAAAAAAAATACCTTTATTTTTTTTCTCACATATAATGAAAGAGATTAACAGTTATATAAAGTACACACATACCATCAATGATTAAGTGATTAATTGTACAAACAACGAAAAAAATTGAGATCTGACAGAAGAAGAGAATGATAGGAAACTGTGTCTACCATCAATAATCTATCTGAGAGCTGACAAATATCAGATTATTGTTTGTTTTTCCCTTTCATATTATTGTACTATTCATTCTACATAAGATATATTCTATAATATCTACGGAAATTTTTAAATAGCAAATCAACTTTTCTTCTACTCCTTTTTTTTTTTTTTGCTTCCGAACGTCATAAAAATTAATCAAAAATAGAAAATAACTATTCTCTAACATAAACAGCAGTGTAAATTGGTTAACTAAAAATAGTCGCTTCCTGTCCTATACATATTTTCCAAGGGAGTAAAGAAATTGAAAGAAAAGTGGTATCATATAATAATGTAATCAGTATGTTTTGAGTCTATATTTAAAAGTACAGTATGTATATTTTGTATATCTTGAAAACTAGGCGGTTTTGTTTTTATCATCTTTCTTTTACTTCCTTTCAATACATACATCAACGATTTACATAATTAAATAATTATTGTTAAAATATTTCATTTTTTATTTGTTATCGATATCGTTGATGATAACATATTCCAAAAGAATTAATCAATCTATTTATCTTGTAAGGCAAATAATCACATGTTTGAACAACGGTTAAATTTTCTCGTCTCTTTTTTTTTTTTGTTATACAGACCGAAAAGAGAGAGAGAGAGAGAGAGAGAGAGACAGAAATACACTTGTCCATATGCATGCACATTTGATGATGAACAAAATAAAAAATAAAGTATATTAATGATCACCGGACTTGTTGTCGTTGTTACTGTTTTTTCTCTCAAAGTAAAAAATCATGATGCGTGATCCAACGTTAGTCTCATGTCATTATACTAATGGTATATCCTATCATTATGCAACAATGGCAACGATATCGAAAAATAGAAATACAGTTGAAATAAGAACGAGAGAGAAAACGATTCAATCGACAAAATCGAGAAGGTTTGTAAGTTTTCACCTTTGCAAGTCGTCGCTGGGATAAACGCCAATTTTTGTAAAAAAGAACTATAGAGAAATTGATAAATGACTGACTGAGAACTATAATATTCTCAAATTTTTATCATTTTATATCAGTTCTTTTCTTTGACATTAGCTTCGTTTAAGCTATGTTTTTTTTTGTTTTTTTTTGAAGGGTTAAATTAATACTTTTCACAGTTATGAAATCTACATACATATCCGGTTATCCTAGTCGATGACCGTACTGAAAGATCGGATAGACTATAAAGTTTCGTAATTCTCAACAATAGTCTAGTGACATTCCCACAAAATAAAAGAACAAAAAAACATGCATCACTGTACAGTAAGCCGCACGAGTCTGAGACTAACCGAAGATTTGTTTTTTTCATATACTGATGACAAAATTTATTCAAATTTTCATATTTTATGTAATAATCGAAATTTTGTATGATTTCATCACTATCTAAGAGAAAAAAATCACTTTGTGTAACTTTGAATATAATTTTTTAAGTGGCTTCACCTCCATTAAACGAAATGGCATATTATTTTGATCACAATGTCATATCTTAAACGTATTATAGAAAAATTTCTCATTCTGCTTATTCTACTAGAATGACATATGATCTATCATTTTTTAATATTATTTTAGAGAAAAAACGAAAAGTTTATTAGTCAATGTATTTCGAACTCGACGATCAAATGTAGTTGCGACAAATGAGGTATAGTTGATCATTGGTGCAATAGTTTCAAAAAATAAATATGTATCTCATTTTTTTTTTGTTTTAGTCATCCATGCTTGCAAAACATTTTAGTGTTAGTGTTCTCAATTTACCAACATCAACAGCTAATCAAACGCCATTAGAAAGTACATTTTTAAATTTAATTGATCAAAAAAAACATGCATTATCAGAAGAAAATATTCCTCAAACCGTATGTATCTAATTTCTTTGCGTGACTACGAAAAAATGTATTTGTACACTATCTATGCTTAACCGATTATTATATTTATGTATTTATTTTTTCAATAGGATTCTTTTTATGTTTATTTCAATATTCGTGGAAAAAATTTTAAAGAAAAATTAAAATTATCTGATTCGACACTAAGGTATAGAAAATAGAGAATGAACATGTTAATAATTTTTTAATATCTTTATTATTAAATTTGTTATTGTTATTGTTTTTATAGAGAATTATTATCAAAATTATTTGAAAAACATCACTTAGATATTGATCAATGTCAAATATTTTTACGCGGTACACAAACACCAGTATCACTCGACTTAAAATCAAATACTAAACGTTTATTAGTGGAAAACGATCTTATTGTTACTGGTAAGAATAGAGAAATTCTTCTTAATTGATTGTCATTCGAGATATTTTTTTCTTCATCTTGTGACCATGATGTAATAAAACAACTGTGTGTGCATGCGTGCATGTATATGTGTTAATTTCTGGATATATATTAAATTAAGAATCACTTCAGAATATTCATTGTCGCACTTAGAAAAACAATAGATGAATAAGTAATTTCTCTATTGTACTTATTATTTATTATGTAACATACAAGAGAAGAAGATTCAATAATCAATCCAGTCGACCACAACAATTTTTTTTTTCGTATGTCTCGCATTGCCTTCGAGGCATTCAAATCTAGATGTGGTACTGATAAAGCATCAGTAACTAAGGAAAAGAAAATAGTTTGAATTTTGGCGACAAATTAATTTTTCTATTCTACTATGAATATTAAATGTGCCATGGTTTTTATGTCACATCGTTGTATTCTCTATTTGTCCGATATTCGACGAACTCCTATATATAGATATAGATATATATATAGGATATGGGCTTTCATCTTCGATCATTTTTCTTTCTTTTACCGATCGATCATACATCATTGACCGATTATCTTTGAGTATTATCTTCTTCAAGGTAACCTCACATTAAAGAACTACTTAACACCATCAGTGTGACCATCAAAGGTTGTCAATAGCCTTTTTTTGTTGTTTTTGCATTAATACTCTATCTACATACTCTCATATTGCCAAGGTATTTAAAACTTCATCTCTCTCTCTCTCTCTGTCTTTCCCCTTTACTTTATATGTATGATATATCTATATTGCGTGTTTATGTTACATCATTTTATCTCTTCTTCTACAACGATTTATTTATACAGTAAGTTGATCGAGTCTGTGATTATACACTGGAAGCGTTAGAATGATGATGCTCCATCCCGTTGGCAAACTTGGCCATCATGTGTTCAATAAAGAAAAAAATGCTTTGCTTCTTCTTTTTTTCCTCTTTCTCTTGTCCATTATTGTATATAAAGGCAAAAAACAAAAAGTTTTTTTTCCTTCTTTCCAGTATTTGTATATTACATTAAAATGACAAAAAAAAAATCATCATATTGTTCATCTAGATAATAGTAATAGTTTTTTATATTTAACAATGGACGATACGGTAACAGCTGTCTCACCTCCAGCATCTGCTCCTTTGCCTATCACCAGTAATAGTCTTCGTCGTTTATCAATTTGTCGTATTACTGATGTATTAAAATATCGTCGAAAATCATGTTCAAATACCGAATTACTAATACCATCTCCCTCTTCCATAAGTCAAAAATCCGATTCATCACCGTCAACATCCACGCCGTTTACATTTGTCTGGAATTGTACAAATACAACATTACCAGAAGAAGAAGTCGATACGTCGTCTTTAATATCATCATCGGAAGAAGAATCATTACTAACAGAGGTGAATTATAGTCAAAAACGTGTTAGAAAAAATGGTTTATCAACAGCCGATGAAAATTGGACAATAAATAATTATACAAATGTTTCTGGATCTATGATGGCTGCATGTATTCATAAGCAAAAAAGTATTAGTTGTGACGATATGACACTAATCTCAAGTGGAGATGAAGGAGGAAAAACAACAACAACAACAACACAAAATGAGTCAACAAATATACCATGGTCATTAACAGAAACAAATAATGATAGAAAACATTTAAAAAAACTTTATTATGGTTCGTTTATCTGAAAAACATAGCGTTCATAATGTTTTTCAATTTCGACATAGATTATTATTGCTTCTAGAAACTTATATTTTAAATGAAAATATTCTAGTTCTATACCAAGAGCACATCTTTTCTATATTGAAAACATTTTTTCTTTACCTTAGTAGTTTCTATATGACTTACCATAATTCTTTTCTATCTAGAAAAAGAGAATGGAACAACAACGATCAATACACGAATAAATTTGCCAATAACAAAAACATCGGCTATTAAAGAACGAAATGAAAAACGAAATTCAACAGGCTCAGCATTATTGACAACAGTATGTATCAATTGAAATTTATTACTATTCTAGAAATCTAATATTTTGCTAATAACTCTCTAAGAGATCGTATTTATAAAACAATTAGTGATAATATGCGTAATATCTTAATATATGGTCTACTATCATCACTCAAATATTTGGTAGTTTTTCACTTGTGTTTTTACTAATGATCCCTGATGATATCTCAACGTTAGATATGTTCGAGGGTATACTATAATATGCAAAAGTCTCTTGAGTTTAGAAAAATCGTATCGAATTTTGTTACATTACAGAAGTATGTCACATTAACACTTAGGATTGTTTTTTAACTATTTTACTCTACATATTTTTTGATGTTTATATGTATGTAATCACCTGTTGTGTGTGCGTGTATGTGTGTTTGCACGCGCACATACAATGTGTTGTCATAATCATCGTCATCAATCAATATGTGCCGATGGGAGTTTATGAACGTAGAAAGAGATACAAATTAATAAAGGTTGTTGTTTTTTTATTGAATAAAAAAGAAACATAGATTGTTGTTGTACTATGTACTGATAATAATTGTATACGTAAAAAAAGAAAATAGATTAATAAGTATAGAAAAAATATACCATTTAACAAGTAGATAATAAACAGAGGATAAAATCGATAATTTGGTATGTATGAGGAAGGAAAACAATAAGTCAATATGTTTTTTTACAGTTTATACAACAGCATTTTTGTATTTCAAGAGATAATTCTAATTTTCTTCGAGTAAAGAAAGTAGTATGGTGGACATTTTTTTTTTATCTAATGTATAAAAAATACTTTCAGCGTTTATTATTTTTTAATCTTTGCAAAGTGTTATGAAAACAATATTGAAGTTTGCTGAAAATTCTACACAGTATTTTTTTTCTTCTTGTTATAGCCCTTCTAACTACCTGTTTTATCATGCGAATAAGATTAAAAATAATTGTGACGTTATTTTCTCATTTGAATTGAAGGATCTATTCTTAACATTTAAACCTCTTTCTCAAACAGACTATGATTTTAAAATAATAATAAAAAAATTTTCGAATCATTTATTGTAACAAAAAAAAAGAAAGAAGAAACATTGCGTATATCCTGTAATAATATGTCATTTTCATCACACACACCTGCTATTCATCGCCATAGACATTTATCGTAAGCGTCTCAAAGTTAATCATTTAATATTCCTCTTCTATTCTCTGTTTTTCTTCCTATTATCTTCTTCGGCATTACAGTGAGAGAGAGAGAAAAGTTGAATTGAACACAGATAATAATAAACCATTATGTCTATAGTCCTAATTCATAATTTCTATTAAATCTTTAACTTAAAATGATTGTTTATATAAGCAATAACATATATATTTTTTTTAATTTAAAGATTGCACACATTTTTATCGTCACTGTTATTTTTTGTTTCGATGCCGTAGAGGATAAACATCCCCATGAATTTACTATTCTGTATTAATTTAATGTAAAAATTATCCGTTAGCTAAATTTTGTTGTTTATACTTAGTGGGAAAAATAATGTTTCAAAATTATTTATTATACAAGATTCGATTAGAAAAAGAAAATAAAAAAATTGAACACAAAATCAAATAGATAAATATTTTGTTGTAATACAAGTTTGACTTAATCACTTTCGTCTCTATTACCCATCATAAATTTTGTTCACAGATTGTCCTATTTATCATCATTATGTAGAAGTAGAATGGTGCAAGGTTAAATGTAAACGAGCTGCTCTTCTTTCTTTTGACATATACTACAAGAATATAAAAAATGATTAGCCTTTTATAGTAATAAATAATAACTTTTCATTGATTGTCTATAGTATTTATACCTTTCGTCTGTTGTTATTGTTATTTAACACAATAATAAGAGATAAAAATCAGTCAGAAATAAATTATTATCATTTTTATGCTATAAGATCCAAACACATGGTAGATTTGATAAAAATGTCGCAGTAGCTTTTTCTCCTTTTTTTTTGAAAACATACACAAAACGAGACAATTAATGTTTAGTTACTGTCTGACTAAAGTCTGTTTTTTTTCTGTATGATTGGCTTCATTTTCTTTAGAATAAAAAGAGGAAATAAAATATTATCATAACTAACCGTTAAGTTGTTGTTGTTTTCTACAAATAATAATAATATTGGAGATAGATAGAAAGTTTTACACCCTCATTCTCATTTATGTGTTTATACTTTTGATGTGTCTATATATATCGGCTAAAACAATCGTAATGGAGTCACATCTTTTTCCACTTCTGACTGTAATTTCTCAGTCCATTTAAAAGATAGAATGGTTAAATTCTTACAAAATCTGCCTAATCACGTGCTCAACAATCTCTAAAGTTTTGATTAACTTTAATGTATGGTTCGAATTTTATAACAAAAATATCGATCATTACGGAATCACCGAAAATGGAAGAGTCATTCCGAAACAATTTGAAGTTGTCGATGAAAAAACTCACGAGGGAACCTTCCAAGATGTCCACTTCCGATTCAAAAGCTTTGTACACGGATCGATAGACCTCAGTGAGGTAGTAAATATCCTAAAAGGATTCGGGTCCATAACTCTTGAAGACCTGGTTTTCTGGAAACCAGTTTTTCAGAAACTACAAAAAGTGACCAAAACCTTTTCTTAATAAGGCATGATTGTGGCCTGCAAATTTCTGATTAAAACGAGACATCTCCCAGCTCTACACGACCTCCCCTTGCAAAATTATAGAATTTACAATAAAAGCCCCACATATTCATTGTCAGCTCAAAGCTACAGAAATAAGAAGAAATTAATTTTGGGCTTCTCCTGCAAATTGTATAACTTTGCAAGGAATGATTGTGTGGAGCTGGGAGATGTCTCATTTTAATTAGAAATTTCCGGGCTACAATCATGCCTTATTAAGAAACGTTTTGGTTAGTTTTTTAGAGTTTCTGAAAAACTGGTTTCCAGAAAACCGGGTCTTTAAGGGTTATGGACCCGAGTCCTTTTAGGATATTTACTACCTCGCTGAGGTCTATCGATCCATGTACAAAGCATTTGAATCGGAAGTGGGCTTCTCGAGAGGTTCCCTCGTCAGCTAAAATCATTCTTTATATGAAAACTTTTGCTGGCAATGCTGTAGAAAAGTCGATGAACTATCGATTGAAAAAAGCTTTTTTTATAGGTCCAAAATTAACGCATAAATGTAGCTAAAATATCATCGTTGCGGAATCACGTACGCATTTTACAAATAACTTTATTTTCACTGTTCGATTTTTTCCGTTGAAGATGAGCGCGAGTTAAATTAAAATGACATTATTGCGACCTCAAAACATGTTTCTATTCAATCATGTGTTCAAAAGATAAAAGCTATTGCAACAAATAAGAGAAAAAGCCAAAAGAAAACAACTTTTCAAAACTTCGACATAAAATGTGACCGTTATATGGAATGGCCCATATATGTGTGTGTTGTTGACGTATAACAGTTTCCAACACACTAGAAGCAAAAAAGCAAAAACGTTTTTATCAGACGGAATGTTGGAGAAATCTGATAACCTCATCACTCGTTAGTTATATCATTATCAGCAAGTGAAAAAATAAGCTGCGATGCTAATTTATATCGATAGATCAGGTAACTAGTCGAATTCTGATGGACAAAACATAGTTACCATCTAGTTCACATTCAACGATTTTCCATCCTTGCAGTATCAGCGACCTCAAATAGTTTATACTAGCCATATTACCGTAGTTAGTATCAGTTTTAAAACTTGGATTTAAATGGAAGATTGAGGTTTGAAGCCGCGAATGAGCGCTTTTAAGGGTACCCCATTCCACTTTCTCGAAAAAATTCCGGATTTTGAGCTGAGCAATGCAGAGGAAAGTGTGGGCTACAAAATGAGACCACTCCCAGCGTTCCACGACCCTTCTTCAAAAAGTTATGCATTTCTGAAATTTTTTCTTCAAAGTTTAAAAAAGCTTAATTTTTTAGTTTCATAAACTTTTCTCTCCTTTTCTGTACATTCAAAGCTTTTCCCTAAACATAAACTGATAGAAGAAAGTGTTTTCTTCACAATGAGACGTTTTCTAGAATTTTCTGATGAGTTTTCGTGGAGATATAAGTGTCACAGCAAATGCCCTGAAAAAAGTGACTTGTATACAAAATGCGTTTTTCTCGAAAACTATTTTGTTGCTACCGGGCTTCATTGTGTCACATTACGACCTCCCTTAAATTCCATCCGAGCGTGTTAAAAGGTTTACCACAGATGCTTAAGACACTATTACTGGAGTATTTTTTTTAATTTTATTTTGGGTCTTTCTTTACCGAATTATAGGATTTTTAAAATTTAAAAACTTGCTTTTACAGGCGTCTTTTAGTATTTTTCTTATAACTCGACCAGAAAAGGTCTTAAAAAGAATTCCCCAAACTACCTCTGCGATATTACCTTGGATATCTCTGGTAAAATTTTTAACTCGATCGGATGAAATTTAAAGGTAATGTGACACAATGAATAACTGAGTTTTCTGTAAAACTTGTAAACAGCATTAGTTAAAAGCTTGAAACAAAAAACGAAAAAAATGCTCCATTGGGTTTCCAATCAGTTCTGAAAATACGAAGTCTTAGTGACTTTGAGTTTTCATTTCACAGCATTTCTACGGAAAGCCCAAAAGGAGAGTAGGGGTACCCTTAAGTGTTCGAACAAAGCACGTTTTAAATATAGGCAGTAAGAATTCAGCTCTTTTAGCTTAAATATGAGTTTCGTAGAAGTTATGAAAGACCAGATATAGTTCGAAAGTTAATTCGCTTAGAGCTTCATCTAAAGGTAGTTCATCATTGTTGTCGCGTCATCAACAGCATTTATTCACTTCGCGATTGTTTTTGCGTGCATTCAGTCTATAACCAGAGACAACGACTCATTTAATAACAGATAAATAAATAAATAATCAATCACTGAAACAAAAAAACTCTTTTTATCACTCTCTCTCTGTATCTATCTATCTATCTCCGTGTGTGTGTAAATATTTATGATATACAATTACTCTCTCATCAAGCTCTTAGTTATTACAAAGACGTCGTTACAACATTCTTTTTCTCCTAGTAACATATACAACTGTACTAATTCACTCTCATCAATACCATTAAGGCATTACCATCAATTCTACTTGCACTACGGATATTTTGAGTTATTGTCCAATGCGTATACCTTGTGTCTTTTTAGACTTCATCTAAATCATCTTCCTCGTCTAAACGTTTGTCAAGTCAATGTATGGACGATGATTCGAATCCTACAAGCAATATTTTATCTCAAAGTGTTACCAGCAGTGATATTGGAAATAAATCGCGATTAGCAAAAACCACAAGATCAGGATTATTCACTGGAGGGATATTCACAAGAGTAAGTGTTTCTTTTCACTATAGAAAACAGAGACGTCTCTCCAAAGATGAATGACCTATATGAAGCTGTAAATGTCGATTAACATGACATATAAAAAAATACGACTCACAATTTCCTCAAGCTTAATGAACCAGTGAGGGTGACGGAAAGGAAGAAACAAATCGAATTTGTTATTTACCGTCACGATATCCACTTTTCCGGTGATAATAGAGCATGTTGTGAAATTTTCGAGTACTCAGTCAAATATGATAAAGATCCTGTCGTTTTTTCTCGAATAGAACGTGTACTTAATCATTGTTGAAAATTCTTGTCTCCTGAGCTTATCAAATAGTTTACATATATTTTTATGGCAAGAGACTCGGTGGAAATTTTTGTCTAGTGGCTCTAACAAAGAATTCTATGATAATGATTGTTCAGAAATATTTGTTTGCATTTCTTACAAGAATCTGCAGACGAAAAGTGTCTGTGGAATCCATTTTATTTTCCTTTTCATGTATTTTAAGAGAAGCTATAGTCTTTTCAAATACTAGCACATACATATTTAAAAGCTCGATTGTTTCTTGGCAAAAACCATAAGAGATTAAAAAGAATTACCATGAACACTCATATATAATAAATAAATATCACGGTTTAACACAAATAGTGAGTAAATCCATTTGAAACACACCACACTATACAAAAGTTTTAGCACAAACCGTAAGACCAACCGCATTTTGTAGGGCTTGTCGAGCTGAGTCTAGCTGCACAAACCGCAGGCCTATAGCTGTTGCGAAAAACACGTTATTGGCATTTTATTCTCCCAGCAAAAATAGTGGAATTTTGTCTTTTCCCAGCTATTTCGAACCATCGTGTGAAGCTCACACCGCGTCTTATCGCACTCCAGAACTGACAAGAATGGTTTTAAATGAAAGAGCATTGCAAATACTATAAAGTTTAAATATTAAAAAATTAATAGTAAAATATTAAATAAAATAAAATATTTTCAGAAAAAAGTTGGCCCATGTTGGGATTTTGAGATAAAGGACCTTGAAGATCCGAGTTTTCTAGAAAACTTTTTAAAGTCAAACTTTATCCAAAGTTTTTTCTAACCACGCGGTTGGATGGAGCGTCGAATGACTGAACTAGTGGCTTTACAAAATGTACATGTGTGAAATTCCCGTTTTTAGTTTCTAACAGGGTATTTTCGAGCACTTTTCGTATTTTTAATGCCAATTTTGGACGATAGATCCTAGAAATGTCGGCAATATGCCATTTTGTTCAAAATTGAACGCTCTATCCAACCATGTGGCTAGAAAAACTTTGGATAAAGTCTTTAAAAGGTTTACTAGAAAACTCGGATCTTCAAGGTCCTTTATCTCAAAATCCCAAAATGGGCCAACTTTTTTCTTTGCATATATAGTATTTGCAACGCTCTTTCATTTAAAACCATTCGTGTCAGTTCTGGAGTGCGATAAGACGCGGTGTGAGCTTCACACGATGGTTCGAAATAGCTGAGAAAAGGTAAAATTTCACTATTTTTGCTGGGAGAATAAAATGCCAATAACGTGTTTTTCACAACAGCTATAGACCTGCCGTTTTCACCAATAAATTCAGCGTGGCACGCTCTACAAAAACCATGCCATCTCGCCGCTGACGCCATGGGCCGATGTAATAGTGATATTTTCCACGTGGAGTCATCCCAGTTAGACCAACTCGGACATGCTGGTTAGCAGAATGATATCGGACGATCCATGCGACAATGCTGAACAGTTTTCATAAAGCGAATATCTGAAAAACTTGAAAAGATTAGAAATGAGAGCTGGTATAACTAGTTATGTTAAACACAAAAATCGTTTGGTCACCTGGGAATGATTTTTTGTGAGTCACTAAATGTTTTTGGACTTCTTTTAATTTCTTAAGCAAAAAATGACTTACTTTTTTTCTCTTTTCGTCTGTCTTGTGGCCTCGTGACTCAAAAAGAGATACAAAGAAACGTAGTATTTTACATTGTAAATGCACCATATAACAGTAGCTACTATCACCACAAAGAGTACTATGTTTGATTTTTTTCTTATTTTGAGATGTAAACTTATATAAGTATGGCAAAATTTTGAAATTGATGTTTGTTGTTTATGTCAATACATCGATAACAGTTTTGTTTTGATGTATGACTTCTGTTATTGGAAGGAGAAACTTTCGTACATATGAATGTCCTGAACATCAGATCACAAATGGAGTCTGCTGTTGTTCACTTGAATGAATGTTATTGACTTCTTTCTTTTGCAACATTTGAGTCACATAACATGTGTGTGGCTAAGAAGAAAAATATGATAAGATATTACAATAATTATTCTACGAATATTAACTCTATTTTGCTAATTTATACTACAGAATTCCTAAACAGATCTTGAAACGTATTGACCTGATAATTATCAAACAAATGTTGTTGTGTTTTAATAGATTTTGACTCACTATAGTAGCATCTAATGGAAGCAAAAAAGCTCCATAATAAAATCCACTGCAATCGTCCGTTCTTCTCTTTTTCTCTTTTATGTAAAATGAAAATTTATTATAGCAGGACACTTATACAGGTGAGCATACTTCATACACGCATTAATATTTCGAAGAAAATCTATAATAATTGATGATAAGCATTTTTTTTTTCTCCTTTTTTTTAAACTTTATATTCGAAATGTGTAGATGATATCGAATTTTCGTCTTTCTTTCTTCTCCATTTTTCTTTTTCATATGAATACTACTCACTTTGATTGTTTATTTGTTGTTGTTATGATTATTTAAAATTAAAATTATTATTATGAGATATTCAATCACGACAAGCGTTTGTTTTGTCATTTTTAATGACAAATGATATATCATAATCTTCATTTCAATTAACGTTAATGGGATTCAGAATATTTTCAACTAAAAAATGCAAGTTTTACTTGGTAAGAATATTTCAATATGTTCAGACATATCTATTACAGTGTAAACATCATCGAAAATTTGTTGGACGAGAACGGGTAGTTATTTTTATTTTGAAAACTATAGTGTTAATTAGATACTCTTCAAATAGATGAATTCTTGACTTTGTCTCGCTAATTTACCAACTAACTTTTCGATGACTCATTTCAAACATGTAGTTATCTTGTCTTTAAAATCGTTCTGTATAGAAGTATATGAGATAGGACAGGAGAAATTGGAAGATCATCCATAATGCAATTAAAACACCCGAGAAAAATCTTGATAAGTTTAATATACCAAATGAAGTGTATGTTTGCAGCAAATATAGATATTTTATAAAATGAGACATATAAAGTAATGAAAAACCATTGATTTTATTTTTACTTTAAGCATACATATCGTTGAATTAACAGATTACTTTTTCATTTTATGGGATCATGTATCATTGTGCTTAGGTGTTTTTGTCTTAAAAATAAGTTAGATTTAACGATATTTACTTTAAACTGATCTTTGAGTGCTATGTCTGAATGAAGTGAAACATTCAGTGACGATGTGGATATTGTAGACAGTGGATTGACCAACTGTGACTTTTTGCTCTGTTAGCTAGTGTTGATAGTAGCGATCTCTTAAACTGATTCAATTATCTATAAGATGAGATTTTCCATAGTACAATGTTTTGATGAGACTTTCGTTTTGGCAGATTCATCTCCTCATAAAAATCGTTGCTTTTTTAGTAACTAGTACATGTCTATCTTTATGTTACTATGACTGTTGTCCAAAATGAATAATTCTCTTTGTTCTGCCAATAGTTGACATGGTTACGATCTAATCCATCTTTTTGGAAATTATTTATGTCTTTAAGTTCTTATTCTCAGTAGGTATACTTCGTCTACTGTAAGTCGCTTATAATTAAAATTAGCTTGCTGGATCTATTTTTTGACAAAATTTTCCAACACTAGCCAATGACTACTATTATCTAGCGAGGAAATTTGTTATTGAAGCAGAAAAGGCATCAGACAGTTTTGTCCTTATTAGTCTTGTCTAACTATTTTAAAAAAATCCTTCAATCAATATTCTTGAGCTTTTCTAAACTTTCGGTCCTCTGTCCACTCATTTTGAAATATGAGAAGTATACTGAATTTATGAACCTAAAAGACGTGTTAAAAAAGTTTTTTTAACACGTCTTCATTAATTAACTTGAATCAATAAAATTGTACTATATACTCTATCTCTTATTTTCCGAAGATGGCAACATCCGATTTTTTCAGATAATTTTTCATATTAACTCTAATAGGACTTTCATTCGTCTATTCAGAGATTTCGTGATATTAGTAATATATAAAATCTCTCCAATTAAAGAAATTTCTCTTTTTTCTTTTCTATCAAATCATTACCACAAAAGAAAGTTTATTTGTACAAATAATAAATGAAATTACCTTGAACATTCATCTATACATTATTAAATAAAACAACATTTTATACTTGACACAATCATTAACTCTATTCACCGTATTGATGAAAGAAAGAGAGGGAGAGAAAGAGAGAGAGAGAGAGAGAGAGAGAAAGAAAATGTATTATTATTATTATTATTGTAAGAGAAACATGAGAAAAAAGACACGCCAATTTCAGAAGAAAACGACATGCATTATTTCAAGTGATAGTAGCTGTACTACTATTACCTTGACTTATGGTCATAACTAACAAAAAAATACGTGTAAAGTCTATAGAAAAGAAATAAGAATCTGGGGATAGAGATCATATTTGAAGTAAAGAGAGGAAGAGAAGAGAAATAAAAATACTAAAAATATCGTAAATCACATTTTTTTTTTTTGACATTGAGCATTACTAAATATTGAAGAAAAAGTCACATGATTAGATTTATAGATGTCCATATGTGATGTAAAAAACTGACAATATTTCGAGACTAATAAGATATATAAGATTCGAAACATGTTATTTTGAATAAATAAAAATTTTAAAGAGACAGAGTGTCTCGATTCACGTTGTCATCATTATTTCAATTATATCTTCTAAAATTTAAAAAGAAAAACATAAAGATTACCATTAAAATGATGATGTATATGTTATTGGTTCAGTTCTTTTTTCTTTTTTTGTTTATTACTAGCAAATGGAAGTGGGTACTAGAGTTATATTAATTGAAGGATAGATCTTTTCGCGCACATTATAGAAAATATACTGAACGATACTCTACAAAATGAGTGTGTAAATAATTTCAAGTTTAGTTAAGTATGTGTTAGTAATATTAGCATATCACCGTTTAAGAAATTAAAAAACCTTGAGAATGTTAATGAACTTGTGATATAAAACGTTGAAAAAAATTGAAGATACACTTCTCCGAAGCATTACAGTCTTTTCTCGTATAATTGGACTCTTTTTTTTTTTCCTTCTTCTTTCTTTGCATAATAAATACCTATACCATTTATTAGTTTTTTTAAAGCTTTGAAATTTTTTTTTTTATTATTATTATTTTTCTCCGTATTGCAAGAAGCCCACTAGTTTTTCTGATTGGTATATACGTTCTAGTTATTATTACTAGAGGGAGAGAGAGAGAGAGCATATGTGTTTTCGATAATTTTTTTTCTTCTTTATTCAATTCAACTTAATGGTGTAATTTGATCAGTTGATTTTCTTTTCTTTATTTTTTTTCTACTTTCTTTCTGTCTTCGCTTAGTCGTTATACCATTATTCCAATTAATGATCTTATCAGACAATGAGAGATTATGTGACTATACACACGCATATATATATATATATATATTTATAAATATACACAAAATACAAAAATATACGAGGCAAACGAATACTAATCCTGTTAAATAATTAATATATATCTATCTGTCTTATAATCAGAACAAAAACCGGAAGTAGAGCTGAGAGAAAGGAAAATAAACGGAAAAACAAAAAAAAAAAAAAAGGAAAACAGTTTATTATTTTTTCTTACGGGTGTGTGCGGTACTTCAACGCTCTCACATTTCCCTTTTTTCTTTTTTCTCTTGTTGTACAATTGACATCGTTGGATTCTTTCGTACACGTTTTCCTCTTTTTCCTATTGTCTTCTGATAATTCGCATATGGGAAACATATATTTAACAGTTTTTATTTTCTATTTTAAAATTTTTTTTATTCACAATGAGAAGTCAAAATCAGCTAAAATAGAATATTATAAATCGATTTATTTCATGTTATAAGAATTATTTATGTCGAATCGACGATTATCAAAAACACTATCTTCACATTCCGCTCTATTAAATAGACGTAATAAATCGGCTATATTCGAATCAAAATCGCTTGAATCATGTAATGTTCAAAAAATAACACCATCATCGTCAAGTAAAAGTATAAAATCATCACCAAATAATCAAATGAGTAATAATAATAATAATAATAATAATAATAATAATAATAATAACAGTATCACAAAACCGAGTTTACAACGGTGGCAACGCGCAGCTAGTAGACTACTTCGTCAAAATACATCGTTACCTTATTGTGAGATTAAGACGGCAACACCACCAGGCACACCATATTTAGGTGCATCAAAATATGAAACAATAGTGACGGTAAAAAAACAACATTTTCTCATGTTAACGAACAGAGTAGATCTTTTTTCAATATCTAAACTACTTTATCAATTGGTATAATCCTTTTCTATTTTTAAATAATAGTCATTTTTTTAAATTTTTCAGTGTAATTATGAAATAGTGTAAGAAACTAAATAAATTTTGTCATAGAACTACTTATCATAGAATTGTTTAAAGAAATTATGTTAATCTTCGAAAGAGTCATTCTTAATAATTGATTATATTTATGAATGTTTTAATAAGAAACGATATATTAATCTTTGATCTATTGATTTATATCATTTAATTTAATTTAATTTTATGTTTATTTGTTGTTATTTTTTCTTATAGGATGGTGATGAACGTCCCGAAACAAATGTAAGTTTTATTCGACGAAAATGTGATGAATGGTTACAATTTGGTTTACCAAGAATTGCTCAATTTCAAACAAGTATCGAAACCGATAAAGATTTATTGATTAATAAAGAATGGCAACCCTATTTGACGGAACAAGCACGTTCAGTATGTACTATGACTTCATTCTTATTTTCGTATGCTCATTTTAAATATTTACTGAATATAGTTTATTATTTCAAAGATCAATTGAGTCATTCAATGTAGTTCATAGCATAAGATATTATCTTAGTACATTAGAATTGAATTATGATTTGATACAGAAAAATGACATCTTTATAAATAATGTCTATATTTATCCTAATACGTTCTAACATTGACAATAACTATTCTTATGTCAGAATGCCATTTAATTGAATATACGAACATAAAATAATCTTATTTCTAATAGATATGGTGTGCTATAATCGATGATAATGTTAGATGATCTTTTCTGGAATATTTAACAAATTTCAACTTGTTTAATAGAATTTTTATTGTGCGCCATCACACTTCACAAACCTCAAACTTTCTTTCTCTATCACACTCTTCACTAATAGCAACTAACACCGCGAGACACTATTACTATTCTTTAATTTAGTAAAATTAACAATTTTATAATATTGTGTCTTTTCACTATCAATGTCATACGTATATTTAGAATAGATTTTATTCAATTTTATTCTTCAACTTTGTGCACATCAAAATAATCTCATGGCATTGTCTTTAGTATTTCCACTCTCGTCTAATATGTCTTTGTATATCGTATAGTCTAATGAAAAGAAATGAATACTTGAACTATCGCACTTGATATATGTCATGAAAATCTGTTATGAGATCTTTCTATTAAACACCTTATTCATAATAATATATAAAAAAAAAAGAATATATATATATATTTCCCTGCGAGATAAAAAAAAAACAATCTTCATGTCTTCCTTTTTTATTTGCGGTCCTTTCGGTTCTTTAGCTGTTGTTATTATTATTATTATGGATGAGATGATGATTATTTGCTCTTAATTTATTTATATTAATGTCAATAGATATATTCGGCGTTTGTCTTCTTTTCTCTATTTCTCTTTCTCGTTATGTTTTTTAATAAAATATTCAGTTTATTATTGAACAACAGGAAGCATTTTTTTTTTTTTCTTTAATTTTATTTATCCGGATATAGCCTCTTTAGAAAAACAAATCTTTGCTCTATCTTTATTAATAATCGAATATATCTATATTGTTAGAAATATGAAAACGACGTTTGTCAAAGTATATCAAATGATTATGAATATCATTTCTCTTTTAAAAATATAGAGACAATAATCATATGACGAAAGATGTTATTCCTCCTTTTTTATACTAATGACTTTGTTTTCAAGAAATGTCATTAATCAATTTCAAAACAATCTATTTTCTTTATATTACTCGAAAAATATTACATATGTCTCCTACTCAAAACGACATTTTACAATTGAATCAGTACCTACACAGAATCCTCCTGTTACAACAGGGGGGGGGGGAGGGGAAGGGGCGGTTATCTTATGAAAAATGTTGCTAACATGAACTATTCTTTTTATAATGCAAATTATTCATAGAAATCTATTTTCTAAATACTCGAGCACTTCTCAGAGCTGGAACCGATCGGCCGATAAACTGGCCGGTTAGAATTATAACTTAAACCGGTAAAATGCCATCGAAAAACTGGCGAAGTTTTTTGAAAATCGATTTTCAGAAAGAATTTCCCCCAGAAATGAAATAGTTTGAGAGCACATCTAAGAGAACCTTCACAACAATGAGTCTATAACATTTAACTTTAAAATAAGTGATGAAAATAATATCTGACTTGAGTATCATCTTATTTATTCTGATTGAAAAATACGTGAAATTTTAGTTTTTTGAGGAAAAATAGTGTAAAAACAGCCGATGTTTCAAAAGTCTCAACCGGTCCGATCGGACCAATTCCAGCTCTGGCGTTTCAACACTATTCTGTAAACAAAATACTAAAATCTGTTGCGTGGTATACAGCAATCAATATAATCGTCAACTGAAATAGACTCAAATAATAAGACTATCTTTTTATTAGGTAATTGAATTAGCAACAAGATTGTTCTATTATATACGCACTTGAAAATAACTGTTAACTGAAAGTGTTAAACGTTCTTCCTTTAATATGATTATCAAAAACGTTTTTTTGGAAAACTATTTTCCATGAATCTCAAAGGATATAATATAGAAAAAAAAACAACAAAAATATGGTTAAAGTATCGGGCGACATATTGATTCTAGTTTTTTATTTCAGCCGACTTTAAATTAAATGTCTCTACATTGCTAAACGAATTTTATTAACGTTTAATAAAAATAGTTTTATATCATGTAAACAGTTATTATTAGAGAAATATAATTGATAAATTCAATTATAATTTTATGTTTATATTTATAAAAGATCTTTAAAAAGTACCTATAAAATCTAATGAATTTGAACTTTTAGCAAATATCCGAATCAATTAAACTTCAGCAAGAGGCAATTTGGGAATTATTATGTACAGAAGTATCCTATATAAGACAAATACAATTGATGACGGATGTAAGTTATACTTGAAAACAAACTCATTTTTGAAATACAATTTGTTTTTATAGGTATTTATGAGTTGTGTATGGTATTTAAAAACGTCTAATCGTGATGGATTATTTCAAGATATACAAATCGATAAATTATTTTGTAATATTCAAGATGTTTTAAATGCGAATATACAATTTTGGAAACAATATTTATTACCAATAAAACGAAAATTAGAGCAAATGGGAACGTGTATGAATCCATCCGATTTAAAACTTGGATTTATGAAGGTAATTATAAAATATTGACTTTTCAACTGTTCTTGTCTGCAAAAAAAGGTTCTAGCAAAAGCAAAGATATTATTTAGTAAGACATTGTACATATGGTTTGATAAACGTCAAAGACATGATACATATGTATTGCTGACACTATAAATCCACAAGTGTTTTGTTATATATACCACACAATAAAGTTTTAAATAGAAAAAAATAATAACTATCGATTCAAATCTTAAATTTATTTATTGCAGTGTAGATGAACAGCAACGATAAATATCGAGTAATTATTGGATTCTCGTTCTCAGAACGTCGAATAAAATGAAAGGTTTAGAAAAAAAAACTCTTGATGTGTATGGACAATGATAAAGATTTTAGCCTAAAATATCGAAAGAAGACAGAAGAATCAATTTAAGACATTTAGTAAAATCTAGAATACTCTCGTGTAATACGAAAGTTTAAGAAATTGACATAGTTAAATAAAAATCAATTAAACGTGAAGTGAGAATGCGGATGACTTTTAGGAAGAAGTCTATTTAAAAAAATCTACAAAAAAAAATCTGCTGTTTTTAAAAATCTACAAGAACTAGTAGTAGAGGATAAAAAAATGATACAAAATTCAAAAATAGAAAGTTCAAGTTCCACTTTGATAGACTGTATATCACGCCCTGTTCCACTTTTGAAAAATACTACGATAGTTGACAGAATATAATTTACTTTTCATGGTTAATTGACATGAATCTAAATCATTTATATATGTTTCTCGTTCTTCGTAGAATAAAAATTTGTCATATAAACATACACATCATGATAATGATATCGATGATAGTTGTTATCTAAATAATAATAAAAACGACAAACTCATAATAAAAGAACATTAAAAATAATGAAACGTTTCTCGACATAATAATTAATTCTACGAGTGCAATAGTATAATTTATATAATAACCTTAATTATACTTAATCAAAAAATGTATTTAATATGAACTTTACTATTGCAACTGTAAATTTTAAAAAGGAAAAAAAAAAATTTTTAATTTTCTAAAAATTTAAAGCATCATTACTTTCACTGAAAAATTGGATATACTGAATTCCGTCTAATACTAAAATTTATGAAAAAAAAGTGAAATATGTGTAAAGAATGATTACAATTTCACTTTTCTTGCCATTATTAAGAGCTGATTGATGTTTGCATAGAAGATTTTATAATAGAAGCAATGATTGCCGTGTTAAGACTTTCAACTATGAAATAGAGGAACGTGCATAACAGGACTCCGTATGATCCCAACTTTTGGGATCGGACTATAACGCTTTAGGATCGGGACCGCTTCGGACCATTTTCGATAAAAAAGTTTGGGACCAGGACCAATCCAGATCATGAAAATGTTTTCTTTTTTCAAAGATCCAGTTCTATTGTGTAAAGTAAAACTGTTTAATTTCAATTTTTATGTAGGTAACAGAGCTCCTAATCGGGTGAATTTCTGATGGCCCGCCTGGACCAAGTCGGGCCAAGAAAAGTCGAGGCCTGCCCGACCCATCATGCTAATCGATTGACCCGGCCCGGCCAGTAGCCTTTCCTGGATCGCCCGGCTTGAGCCCGACTGTAAATTCTTTCTAGACTCAATTCAATTTTGTTATGACAAAAACGCAGTAAAAGCTTTGCTAAAGATTAGTTCAGCAGCATATACATATTGTACAGCACATATTCGAGAATCTATTGTACAATAAACTCAGTAAAGGATAGAATTCCTTTGGATGGTGTATTTGCTTCTTCTTCTATCATTAGTCACCTGATTTGACCAGTGATCAAACTCTTTTTTTCTCAACAGAATTCACTAAATAATAATAACATATTGTTACTAGGAAATAGCCAAATTTAACTGAAAATATGGAGAAAAACTTTAAAATTTCTCGGGCCAGGCCGGACCGTAAAAAACGCTGACCCAACTGAGCTAAAAACTTTTCTGGAACGACCCGCTCGGCCCGGCCTGGTCCGAGGCAGGTTGGTCCCGAGCCGGGTGGATCGGCAGGAGCTGTGGTAGGTAATGCTTACATTTTCAGCCCAGGGTAAAAAAAGTAATAAAGTAAAGTAACGGACTATTTTTATCATTGATCAGCCAGGTTAGCCACATTTTTAAAAAACATTTTCCAACCAGGATCAGTTGGGATGAATAGTTTTGGTACCGGGACCAGTTCAAACCATTAAATTTTTTAAAAACTGGAATCAAGTCGAACCAAAAGGATTATGGTCCGATCCGACTTGGTCCTGGACCGGACCATACAGAGCCCTGGTGCATAATACTTTAATTTACCATTAATAAAATTAATTCATAGCTTCGTCCCAACATGCGTGTCTATATAAAAACATACAAACAGTACGCTTTTTTATTCATTTAGTTTGATAATGTATTTAAACCATATTTAACTTATGTTTTAAATCAAAAATTATGTTCTGAATATTTTAAACAAAAATTATTCAAAGATGAATTATTTCAACAATTAATTTCTGTAAGTTATTCATTGTATTATTTTTACTTTTATTTCTATTTAATATAAAATTTTATTTTAGTGGATTGAAGGAAATTTTACATCAAGATTATCATTGCCAGATTTAGCAATAAAACCATTACAACGATTAACAAAATATAAACTTTTACTTGAAGCTATACAACGAAAAACGGGTGATCATCAACAACGAATCGATTTGCAAGAGATGGTAACTATACTGTGTGAGAATAAGCTGTTTTTTTAATGAATTTTTTTCAACTCTATATTTAAGATTCAAAAAGTTGAAACATATGTAAATAAAGTAAATACAAAATTAAATAATCAAGAACAAGAAGAACGTTTACGTCAGATAAGTGATCGAATTGGTCAATTTGATAGTGTATCAGCTCCTCCAGAAATATTACCGGTATGTTTGACTATAATTTTAACTTTCCTTTTTTTTGTTTTTTTTACTCAATATGATTTTTTATAGGTGTTACAAGAATATTATCGCGATATGTCAAATCGATTAGATTTATTGCGTGATATGCCTCTATTTGTTCGTGGTTATAAACGTTCGATAATTCAACAAGGTCCCATGAAAATGAAAGATTCAAAAGATCGTCAAGATGTTTACTGTTATTTATTTACGGATATGTTTTTAATCACAAAAGGTGGTAAAAAAGGAGATCAACGTTATTCAAATAATAAAATATTAAAACCACCAATTCGCATTGATCGAATTGATGTTAAAGAATATGTTACACGAGAACCAAACGGTAAAATGATACAATTAATTGATTTATTTTAACTATTATAATTATTGTATTATTATTTTTTAGCTCCTTATTTTATTGCCATTATCTTTAGTGAATATAATCTAATTGAAGGCGGCTATTTATTTCAAACAAATTTAAGTAAACAATGGATTGAGAATATTCGATCAACAAAGAGTCGTTTTCAAATATTACTCGAAGAATCTAAAATGAAACTTCAACATGCTCATACACCACTCTCATCAACACCCACCACTATTGCCACCACAACTACCACTAGTCGTCACAGTTACATATCAGACACCAATCTTCCAACAACAACAACAGTTACGAATGCTCCCACATTTTTATCAGCTCTGTCTACACCTACATCACCCATTGTAATTAATTTTCCTTCACAATCATCGTTAGATGAATCACGTTCGTCCGTTGTAGTAAAATTAGATGGCTCATTAATGGACAGTTCTTCAACTGATTACTCACCAAAATTAAAACATGCCACACCACCGCCACAAGCGAATTTAAATTCCACTGGCACATTTATACCATTCAATATAGATTCATTAGAACAAGAACAGCAACAACAACAATCATCAGATGACTCAAAATCATTGTTACAACAACAGACACGACGTAATTCTCGTGGTGATAGACGAAATAATTGTAAAGGAAGATATCATACAGCCGATGAAATTTATCAAAAAAACGAAACGCATAATAATAATAATAATAATAACAGTAGTCAACCAGAGAAGATCACAACACCTATTCGAAAACAGCGTTCATCTATTCGTAAAAGAATGTCATGGAATAATGGGTCACCAACTGTTCTTACAAATCAAAATAATTCAACGGTAAATGATTCCCAAACATTTTTAAGTTCAACAAATTCATTTCGTAGTGTGCAAAGTTCAACAAGTGGTGTAAGTTCTAATGGATCGTTTTTGTTTTCTGCTGATGATATGATCGATGAGAGTGATCAGAAAAAGGGAAATAATAGTCAAGATCAGGAGGATGATCAACAACATGACGAAGAAGATTATGATGACAAACACTCACCACTGATCGATAATAGTACATCAACAGAGACTCATGTAAATGATAATAATAACAATGGAGCATCGAATCGTTTATCGTCGTCGAGTTCAACCCTAAGTTTTACAAGTATAACAACAACATTGTCAGCAAATAATAACATCGCAGGTACATTTCACAGAACTTCTTCTCATCTTTGTGTGATCCAATCGCAACTGTTTTTTTACATCTTAGAGGAAGGATGGGGTTTTTAGTCTCAAACACTATATTGCAAAATTTATTTATTGCTTTGCTAAATTTTCATTGTAAGTTTTAGATAACCGTCATCCGTCATCGGCGACATGTGTTTCCAGTGGTAATGATCAACAGCAACAACGCATGAGTAAAATTTATCATAGTGACACGCACTTATCGCCTACCGCAAACGTTTTATCGCCATCTACTCAACAATCCTCTGATTTGCTTCTGCTGTTACCATCGGCTACTGCTAATACTACTTGTAATACGAAAACAGCAACGTTATCTGAAACATCATCAAGTCGTAGTCCATTTCAACGTGGTAAAAAATGTCGATCTCGTCCGGTGATGAATAGCAGTGGCGCATGTAAAATATACGAAGATGAAGGAGCGTGCCGTAAATTAACGTCATCAAAACCGCATCCACAACTGTCACCATCCAAAATTATTAATATGACAACTGATGATACCTATATTGGTGGTAGTGGTAATGGTAATGATAGTGACTACGATAATCATCATCGATCTAATGGCGACAGATATTATCAAAAAAATTATTCTTCAATGAAAACCGCTCAAACAAGACCATCATCGGCTACAGGCTGTGAGACAATGTTGTATAACAGCCGTTTTCTACATAATCAATCACCACAGACAGTAAAATTATGTAAACCAAATTTAAGATTAATTTCGCCATCACTCGTTAAAGGAACACTTGAAGAAACAGCAACAGTATGTATCATTGATTTTTCTTATTCGTTTTTGTGTTAATAAAAGAACCTATTTTCTAGCATTCATCCACACCATTTACAAGTAGACAATCGTCAACTTTGTCAGATACGCCGTCTTCAGATAACACTGAATCATTACCGTTTAAAAGCTTAGATGATCTTGTATTAGGTGACCAATATGAAATTCTTTTGACAAATGATGCATTGCGCGCAGATGAAGATACTTTTACCCCTGTGTTAGTGGGTGACAATAGAGACGATGATGATGATGAAGATACACAGCAAAATGAAGACGAGGATGATGTTAGTGCCACAGTGGAATTATCTGATGAGATAAGAGAAACAAATACAAACGGTAACTCGGAGTGTGATACTGATGATGAATCAACAATGATTGCATGTATTAAATCAAACTATCCTTCTACTAATACTACTAGTACGATTAAGGACTCGGTGAACAATATTGAACAGTCAGATATTTCTACGGTTGCTTATCATACAATCCGCGATACCACCACGTATAATGACGATAATGATTCTAAAACGATTCGTAACAGTAATATGAGCAGACTATCACCGTCGACGATTGGAACCGGTAATAAACATTCATCACATCAACATTCTTCGACATTTGATATTAATAATCAATCATCACCAAATTCAGCTAATTTTATTGAATATAGAAAAGAAACAATATCACCACAAAAACTATTAGAATTTAGATCTCATTTATTGTTAAATACAACATTAGATGCAACGTAAGTAATAAATACAACAATTCTGTGAGGCTGCGACAAATGTAAAAAAAATGACAAAGTAGGAAAAATTTTAATACAATTCAAATGCTGGACGAAACTGTCAGTAGTGTGGAATTAGCTGAATATAAAAATGAGCATTTTCAAATGATAAAATTGTTTTCTTGCATGATCTACACTGATAAGCTTTTACAGTCATTTATTCCATCCATATCATACTTTGAGTACAAACTTCTCGCAGGTAAATTCTTTCCCTGTAAGATTATGTCTTAACACTATTATTCAGTCAACTAATCCACATCACTTCTATAATGTATATTATTTGATTGTTTTAGTGAAGTGTGATTTTTTAAAATGAATCGTGATATTAATTCTTGCTTTGGCAACACACACATTCAATATTTATCAATATAGCGAAAATGAGATAAAATGATTATTTGTGCAGTGTTTTGTATAGTCTTTTTTGTTTGTTTGTTTATTTTTCTTCAGATGGTTGACAAAATAAAAAAGAACAGATTCTTCTTCTTTGTATCTGTGTATCTTTGATACATTTCTTTTTTGTATTCTCTCTTTTCTGACAAAAAATGTTTTTCTTCTTTTGTTTAATGAATGTATTTGTCGCTCTTTTTTTAAAAAAACTATAATGATTGTACTAAAGATATGAAAAAACCATTAAAAAATATGAGCATGCTGGACGTGCCTCAAAAAAATGAAAAGAATTAGTGACACAAAGATGTAAGTAGCGTTTTAATGTTTTATAATCATGATATGCAAGTGTCTATGACAACTATTAATAGTTTAATTGATGTTGTGATTGTTCACTAAACATGCTGTCAAATATTTCTGTTACTTTTGATTGAACAAGACATTTAATCGTTTGTAATTGTTCTTGTGACTGCTGCAATTTTGTTGTAAGAACAATAGTTTGCCTAATGTTGTTTGAGTTTTGTAAATTCGTTATTGAGCAATGCTAATGATTGTGGTGATTAGCATAGTAAATAAGCTTTGATCAATAGATAACGTTGCTATACAGTGTTTAAATAGATATTTGTGCATGAAATTGTTTTTGAATAATCTTCGAGCGTATTTTATTTGTTTTATCAGTATTTGCTCGTTATTCAACACATAAAAATAAATATCCATGTAAGATAGTACCGTATAAAATAAATATGCATTGGTTCGATTATAGACTGATGCTACTGACGAGGAAATTCTCCCAATTGATAAATCGCTAAGGATTTATCCCCATGGCACTTGAAGATCCGTTTTTCTGTAAAACTGATTTTCCAGAAACTCTAAAAAACTAACCAAAACGTTTCTTAATAAGGCATGATTGTATCCCGGAATTTTCTAATTAAAATGAGATATCTCCCAGCTCTACACAATCATTCTTTGCAAAGTTATAGAATTTACAAGAAAAGCCCTAAATTAATTTCTTATTTCTGTAGCTTTGAGCTGACAATGAATATGTGGGGCTTTTATTGTAAATTCTATAATTTTGCAAAGAAAGATCATGTAGAGCTGGGAGACGTCTCATTTTAATCAGAAATTTTCGGACTATAATCACGCCTTATTAAGAAACGTTTTGGTTAGTGTCTTAGAGTTTCTGAAAAATCAGTTTTCCAGAAAACCGGATCTTCAAGAGCCATGGAGATAAATCCTTTTAGGCTTTTTACTATCTGGATGTAGGCTATCGATTGATGTATGTTTGAACGAAATCGGGGTTGGACTGCTGGGAATGTTCCCTCGTAAGTTTTGGGCAAAAAGCGATTTATCAATTGAGAGAGTTTCCTAAATCGTACAAGTATGAACAAATTACACAGGTTGCCTTATTCGTTTTTTATAATATGTGGTATATTTCACATAGAATCCTACAATATACAAATTTAAATATAAAGTTCAACAAATGAAAGTGACAATTAGTCCCTATTATTAAAAAAGTCCTTCTCATACGACTAATATTGTCGCGTGACTAGTTGTCGGGGCGCTAGCGCTCAGTTGTTACGAATTGGCGTTTGACCTATATAATATTCGTAGAACCGATAACGGTAATAATCGGTGTCATCTTGTCCCAATAACTGATAAATTTATAAAGCTAATTTAAAACAGAAATGGCAATTAAGTTTTTTATACTCTGTAGAAAATGTACACGTTCAAACAAATGAAAATAGTAAAATTATTGTAATGTCATCTTACTGAAAAATAAATATTTATAACTATTGTTTAGACATATTTACCCAGGATAACTAAATGTTAAAAAGTAAACAAGATTATTAATAAAATCGAAGAAGAATGAAATGAATGTTCATAGTATGTAAAATATCTCTGTTCATTTTAATATGTTAATGGTGCTGGTGAATACAGATTATCTGTTAACAATGATTCAGTGATAAAACCTTCACAATTTAGTATTATGCAGTTAAATCGATGCCACAATAACATTTAGGATATAAATATAGGAAATCCGATTTATTAGTCAAAATAGCTTGTAAATATTTTTATTAATTACACAATGTTGACACTTTTAAAAGCTATGGCTGTGAGTGAACAACTGACTGGTTTGCTACGACAATGGTAAAGAACTTATTTTGAAATATTCTGCTACCGTTAGTGTGTCCTATATTAGGTAGCAAGTCTAACGTGATTATTGCCATTTTTATTTATTCTTAATGTATATTGCCTAGGCCTTTGTTTGATGAGCCTTTTGAACAAGGGAGTTTTTAATACAAATATATCTTAAATGAGAAGATGACGTCCTTCAACCCATTGGATATTATAATCGGATATGATACTTTTGGCGGATGCAACGATAATCTCCGTCAGAAAATCGTTTTGCTTTACTTCAATTGCGGCAAATGTGAGTATAAAGTGACTGATTGAGAACAATTTGAATAACAAATGTTTTGACTTCTATAAGCGGTGTAAAAACTTTTGGGGATTACTTGTCGTTCAACTACTACAGCATTTATACGGGCCGTAACGCGATGGCCAAAAATGAAAGGTCGTTTTAGTGACCGTTGAAGAGTTATGATTTTCTAAAATGTAGCCAGTGTGGATGATACTACCGAATAACGAGTTTTTGTCTATAACGCTGAAAGTAAAAATCCACATGACTGAATAGTAAGATCTGTAACAGATGACTAAACCAGTAGTTATGAGAGAGAATGCTTTCTGTTTTATGAAAGCTACACCATAAGCCTTGACGACAACAAAACACACTATTTTAAGAATGGAGTAGACTATCCTTTTTAAAATAGTGCGAGCACTTTGTCAAATAGCGTTATCAAACGTTGGTCATGCATGGGATACCGTTAGCTGGAAAAGCCAAGAATCAAAGTTGTTCGACTGTATACGGATTATCTTGGTGTATTACAATCTATAATTCATATACGATTCATTCAAGATTTTATACATATCTCAGACTTAAAGTCTTTGTTGAGGTGTGTTTAGCGACATTCGCTAACACATCAAACTATTTATTAGTATAAATTTGTTAAAAATGAGTTTTTCTTTGCTTCTCTATTCAGTTTTGTGATAATCCTGCAAGAAACCGTAGTTTAAATAAGTCTTTATTTGATTATCTTCAATGTTCGTCCAACGTTTTTACATGCGTCGATGCTTTTCTGTAAATCTTGTTTGGTATGTGCTGCTGATATTTGTACTCCAATACGTACTTTTCCTTCTGGCACAACTGGATAACTAAATGAAATGACATATACCAATTTTTGTAACATATCTTCGGCCATCTGACTTGCTAAACGTGCATCTCACAACATTGACCATCGATCTATGAAAAAAATGAAAATAATCATATTAGATCTTTTATCTCTTTTGACCAAATGAGTACCTTATATTGCATAGCCATTGTACCGTTGTTGTTCCGTATATGTTTTGGTCATAAAATCTGTTCTAAGCAGCAAATTATTTTTATTTCTTTTGTTTGGTGCAAAACGTTTACCATATTTTGTGCTCTAAAAATTAAGTTTGTGCTAAAAGGACGAATTCCAAAATAAGGTTTTAATGTTTAGGAAGAAAGTAAAATATTTTCAAAGTGATATTTTTCGCAAATTACTTAAATACAAGATATACTCACGGTGGTAGACTATTTGAAAATCAATAAGGTCTTGACCGTTAGCGTAACAAATCAATCAGTTGTTTTGGACTAGTTGTATAACCGCCAGCTGCTTCCAAAGAGTTTTTCTAAGTGTCGAATTAATTACATTCGACATTACATTCGACATGAACATTCGTCAATGATAACAATCGCCTTATTTTGTTCAGCTAAACGATGTATTTCGGGTAATTTAGCTACATTTCCATCCATTGAAAATACACCGTCTGTTACAACGAGTTTAACTGATGTCTCGTTGTCGTCTGCTGTTGTCACTTCTTTTAATTTCATCTCTAGATCTTGCATATTCTTATGTTTGTATCTCAAACATTTTGCTTTACACAATCGAATGCCGTCAATGACCGACGCATGGCTTAATTCATCACTTATTACACAATCTGTCTCTTTTAATAACGTTTCAAAAATACCCGCATTGGCATCAAAACGTGATATATACAAAATAGCATCTTCTCGTTGATGAAATTTGGCTATCCTTGCTTCTAATTGTTTATGTATGGTTTGTGTACCACATATGAACCGAACGGATGATAAACCGGCGTCATATTGATCCAGTGCGTGTTTACTTGCCTGCACAATGTCCGGATGATACGATAAACCAAGATAATTATGTGCACAAAAATTTAATATTGTTGAAGATGATTGATTACCTTTAACACGTATATGAGCACTTTGACTGGTTGTAATAATATGTTCACGTTTATATGTACTAGCATCACGTATGACGTCAAGTTCTTGTGATGATTTTTATGTTTGAAACTGTTGATGTTGAGCGATTACAAATAAGATTTAAAATACAGGAAGATGATCGATGAAATTTTAACAGAGTTGACATTATGCTCGTATGTTGACATTCTTTTTTCCACGCACATTAAAGATAAATCAGCAGAAAGAAGAACGAAGCAAAGGTATTAAATTTGGAAATTTGTGTTCTTTTTATCGAAAAGAACGGTATAACAACTGATCACATGTACCTGATGAATGTACTTGACTCTATTCACTATAAAAAAAAGTTGAAAGAAAAATGATTCAAATTCATTGGTAAAATTTAACTGACTCTTACTCTATTTTTTTTGAAAAAAAACTAGTTCAGTGTGTTAAGAAACGCTGGGGTCATCTCAATCGAGAACAATTTTAAATTGTATATTCTTGATGGAGAACAATTAGTTGCTTTAATACATGTTACTGTGTACGGTTATTCTTCAAAGAAAACTAATTTCTTAAAAACAGAAAATGTTGCATTAAGAACACAAACAGTTAACACAGGCGTAGAAAAAGTGATCTAACATAAATACTCAAGTGTCAACGCCTGAAAGTTTATCTTTTAAAAGATCATCTGATAAACTATATAGCATTCTATAACATGGCATTTTTAGCATTCTCTTGAAAGTCAGCAAACCCATCCAAATATTGAAATTGAGAATGAATTATTTCATTTTTAAATTCTTCATGACTACATCGCATTAACTTTGTTGATGAGAAATCTTGTACGTCTTGTACTGTAGCAAATCGTACTTTAGAATAAGAATTAACACCACTAGAGCTACATTACTCTATTTCTAGTTCTCTGCTTTAATCTTAAATTTCTTTGCCATTTTTGGTTACAAAAAATACTGGATCTGACATGTGACTATCGCCTTTGTATAGAGTATGGTTTTAATGGAAAAAACTTTAGTCTATAGTTCTTCCGGTTCAATTGGATATTTGTCTCACTTGGATGAACAAGAGATCGTAAGAATACATCATAATCTCTCGACCATTGCAACTAAATCAAACAAAGTCACCAATTTCTATGTTACTTACAAAGAAATAAGCAGAAAACAGGGTTTATAGAAGACATGTTGATCTGTCGGAAAAACTACGTCAAGTTACCTCACTTTTTAGATGAAATACAGTTTTGCGAAGGTTATTTATTCTGCTGACTGCGAATTCTCTATGTGACTCGGTTTAAGCAGCGTTTTTTGTAGATCTTATCGCGTTCCATATGCTCAGAAAAACTATCAGAACAAGTCAAGACATTTTCTCGGAGTTACTATATGATTTTTCACAGTATTTCAGCTGTTGTTGCAAGTAATGTATTTAGAACTCTGCAAAAACAAGTTGGTTACTTGTTTTTTTAATTTGTGAAAAGATGGAACTTGACAGGCTAAAAGTTGTAGTATAGAATGCTCTGTCGAACATATAATGGCAATCAGAGTTAGGAGCAATAAAGGTGGGAGATTGAATTAATAAAACGAGATACTTGATTATGTAAACTTGATCTACAAATACGTAGTGCGTGCGACAAATATTTACCAAATATTATTAAAAAATAACGAATAAAATTATTACTGGTTTATTTTTCATATACTCTGAATTAACGAGCAACAAAAATATTTTCAATATATACGTGGATGATAAAAAAGTCTCCAAAAACCAAGGTTTACCAGCAGTTTAATTACACATATCTGACGAACAAAAATGAAAACAATCCATTCCATCTAGTCGCCTTTTACATCCACTACTCTCTTTTCCTATGACATTTGTGACAATATATTCTTTTGATGAAGTGGATAAACAACCACGTTGTACACCCACATGGCTACCTGAAGAGGGATCAGAGATAGAACCAACAATAGATAATTTTTGTCACTATGAAGAAGATAACATACGGACATACCCGTTCGATCAAACCATGAAAAACAAACATCATCGTCATTCAAACACTCATATGTCTCCGAATTATAGCCAAGTATACACGATGAATCGTTTTTCTGGCAAGATTTGCATTCCAAACTATCTCCTATACACGTACACAAGAATAAAACAACAAAAATGAAATGAAATATCAATATTGTCCAAACTCACCGTGTTGAATCATAAATGTACAAATTATAACAACCAGAAGTGTAATTTCTCTGCAACGCATTCTGTTTAGCAAATACCTTCTAAAACAAACAAAAAATCAATAACCTATAGAATTAAAAAACACTATGGCAAAACTAAATGTCATCTGGACATCTTATTCAAGTGCAAAATATTTTATATATCTTCGTGAACTATAAGTTTAAAAAGAGATTTTCTCTTTATGAGTGAAAATAGACTTCTCTTATTCCATATAGGTAAACTCTTTTCTTTGCCATAGAGCATTGAGGTATGGCATCACAGCACTGCCACTCGATGTGTTTTATAGCTTATTATTTAATTAGATAAAAAGAAGATTGATCGATGGAAAATTATGATAAAAACTCGCATATTTGAACAGAATTTAATAAAAGAAATGGAATCATGAATTCTTTATGATCAAGAGCTCGAACATATGAGCACAGGATTGTATTAAACCAAGAAAAGAAATTCGTAGTTACTACTGTCAGTTTCAAAATACAGTGGCACCTCTCACTTATTGAATAGCGTTTTACTGGAAACAGATAAAACCATGCGGTTTTTACCGTTGAAAAAAAGAACACTTTTTGCTATAAAATTATGGGAAAAATCTGGTCGAGCCACCGCCTGTAGATGGTATACCTCATCCATCTTTCAAAGAGTTCATCACTAAACCATGTAGATTCAACGGATTTCAAATCTAAATTTAGTCGTTCGACAGCTTAGACAGCGGCCTACAAGTCTGTGAAAGTCTCATCTCTTCAGTTAATATGATTCAGGAACTACATAGGATCTTCGAATGGATGCCTATCTAGCTCCCGTTCTCAAAAACACATCATGAATGTTCGAATATGTAATCCTACAACGATCATTTTGTATTTTTTGATAATTAAAGTTTTAAAAGTACTAGAATGGATTTATTTTCGATTGTAATCTGAAAGAATAAAGAGTAAATTAAAATACTGACATATCCAATTCACTATCCGCTAATTTCTTTATAAAAACTGAACCTTTACGAGTGGAAAATCAAAGTTTTTCGACCAATTGTAGGGCAATCGTTAAAAAGAAACGTATTTGCAAGAATGTCATAACTTATAGGGCACACCGTTAGATTATATAAAAACATTTTGGAACCCTATACTATGTGTATGTTACTGAATAATTCTCAACGAAACACTTCATATTTAATCCCATCCCAGAAAAATCGAAAACTAAGGTGGATGAACAATTTTGTGAATAACTGTATGTTCATTTTTATTGTGTATGTTGTTGGGATTAAATATCAAGTGCTTCGTTGAGAATTATTCAGTAACATATACTTAGTATAGGGTTCTAAAATGTTTTTATATACTTTGGAATTTTAAAAGTTATCCCTTTGGAACGAGCGTGTACGAAAACCTATAAAAAGAGTGCTTAGAAACTTTCGTATCACTTTTCTAGCGCATGCTCATGTGCCAAGTCAAAATTGCTGGGTCCAATAGGCTGAAACCGTCGCATCTCACTGGATCGAAACATTTCTTCTGCAGAAATACCTCAAACACACATTATTCGATACATTTTTTGACGCTGATTCCGAATATAAAATTATTTTTCAAATAAAATGTGTCTAACATGAGTGGATTTTACCTCAAAAACCAGGGTGTTTTGAAAAACCTGTAATTCAGGTCTTTTATTAATTTATTGCACCTTTTATCTTTTATTAATTTATGCACCTTTATGCTACTTGCAAAGATGTATCACAAGTAGAAGAATATTCTTTGAAAGTTTCATCGGACTTGGAGTTGTGGAAAAGTGTGAAAACTCACTATACTGAACACGGCTTTTGGAAAAACAATTATTAGAACAATTATTTTTTTCGACGTGAAAGTGTAAGAATAAAAAATTTTTTTACGAATCGATATTCCAGAAGGTCTAGTTTCAGAATATGTGATTTATCCATAAACACTTTGCATAATTCATAAAAAATATTATTCTTCGGTACACTTTACGCTTTTCGGCCTCATTTTCGTGATACCTTTTTTCACTTTAATACAAAAGCCGGAACAAAAATTTTTACGTCATTAAATAGGCCATGAACCAAAGCATATTTGACACTACTCAAAATTTCAAAAAGCTCACTTTCATTTTTTTCACCTAATGTCCACGTAGTTGCCCGCTGTGATATGGTGACACGTGAAACTTTTGTCCGAAAACAGGTACATTTAAAATGCCATACAGCACCAAAAATAGAGCTCACTCAAGTGATTCATAAATATCTTAAACGACCAGCTTACAGATTCTGCATTAAGTAAACTGTTAAATATTCAGTCCTTTTTTTTACTTACCTGTTTTGAACCTTGAAAAACTAGATACGGAAAAGTGTTCCGAGACTAAAACTGATCAGCTAATAACACCCCACGTTTCTCTCGTTTTTTCGTTTTTGTTTCTCAGTCACTAATTGTTTTTTCATCAATCTTTTCTTCTTCTCTCTGTACGTGTGCTCCATGAAATAAAGCAAAACGATGAGAAGAAGAAACACAGAAAAGTAATCATCTCATTATTTTGTTGCTTCAAGAAGGAAATGCTTCCCTAAAAACACAGCTTGAATTAGTGAGATGTCACGCAGAATTTCACATGATGACATTTATTTTATTTAAAGGCAATGATTTGGGATTTAGTCGTGTTTAACACCAAACCAGTAGTTAAGAACAAGACACTAATTGTACACTGACAACTTCCTAACACCATATCATGCTAATTACTGTGGATGTAGGCAAAAAAAATTTAAATCTTTTACTCGAACTTCAACTAATTATGAACGAAATATTTATCTGTTTGATGGCTAATTAAGAAAATATCTTTTTAATAATGTTGTGCGAAATGTTTCACAATAATTACGCTTTTTCGAACAGTTTTTATACTATCACTATACAGTTTTATTGCGGACTTATTTAAATAGCGAATATTTTCCAAATAACAAACATGGTGAGGGTAATTATAGCAGTTACACTTGGTTGTATAACTAGCTTCTCATAAGCAAATATATTTAAAGTTTTCAGTTTCATCAACGAATGATAACTCCTGACGCTTTCCACTATCTGATACAACAATTCTTCTTTGTGTTTGTTACCTTAGTATATAATATAGCTGGGGGCGTTAATGGTGAAATTAAAGAAATCAAACAATTCTTCTCTTCTCGTAGTATTTCGATACCAATTTATTTACAAACATATTCATTTTTCAAGACAAACAGTTATTAATCATCATTTTCCCTTATTTTTATATCCACATACAGGTATTTAATTATTATGCATAATCAAGTTTGTTATTTTTCAAATGGTAGAAATTCTACATATACAGTAACTGCTACTTTAACTTTTCTTTAACATAGTTCCATAATTTTAAACGTGTCTGTATCTCCTAGTACACTACAGTCATTCTGGTACATCTGTTTCCAAATATATAAATCTTTCAAATACTTCGCAAATTCCTCTTTATTATACACCGCATTTTTAATCTTTCAATTTTCTTATCAGTAACGTCAAAAATATCGGTTTGAGCTTGGATATCGGCTTATCCACTGGTTACGCGATGTTTAGCGCTACTGTTTATTTTCTCACAATTGTAAGCACAAGTAAGAGTAAATATTGTATTATTTAATACATCTCAATGGCTTCTTAGAAGTGGTGTGAGAAGCTTTATTGTCGTCAATAAGTGTTTCTCACGTATACCCCAGAGTTCCGTATGGACTGGACTTAGTCCATAGTCCAGTTCAGTCCATGTGAAGAACAATTACTGAAAGGATTAATGTAGCTCATTTGCACATGCACTTTATGACGTGTGAGAAAAGCTTGAATTGATGAAAGTAAAAAATCTACATGTTAGTCGCACACACCGATATGCATATAAATAACTACTTTCAAACTACAATCTTCATTTACTTAAATTGATTGATTCTTTTTTATTAAAACCTAGCTGACAGAAATATCATATATCATGATTACGATAAAGGACACTAAGTAAACACTTTCACTACTGAAAATTACGCTATTTATTACGCTACATATCTCGAGAAGGAAAACGTATTTTTTAAAAATAAAAAAAAAACGAACCTTAGATAGGGTGTAAAGTATTAGTGGTAAAATTTTTACCTCGATTGGACCATTTTTTTGAGGGATCGTATCGTGTGACCTGATGAAAACTGCAGTTTTTCAGAAAACCCATGAAAGAACATGTCAGGAAATTCTGGGCAAAAATACATCGATTTTCTTCGAAAAAGAAAATAGAATAGAAAAAAAACAAACACCCTTACCCTTCCATAAAAGAAAATAAACTCAACTTGATTTAGCCACATCACGACATCCTGTCCACGATTAACTAATTATGTTTGTTTTATTGTGCAATTTCGAAAAGATTTTCATATGAAACAGTTTTCATTCTTCACGATATGCTTATCATCAAAGGAAATGCATAATTCGTTATTTTTTTAATTTATTTTCTATAGACTAATTAATTATTAAATAAGGTTGAATCGTCATTCAAAATCTCCATGATCGTAATTATTTGTATATAATGAATAGTAGTTTTGAACTCAAGATGTTTGTTCATCATTGTTACATTTGATATGTTATGCTTTCCATGATACTTGACAAACAATAACACTCTTCATTAAACCCATTTGCCGACAGTTTATTAAGCAAAGTAATTAGAAAGAGAAACTGAAATACTGAATGGAATGTCAAGAAATACTATACAAATGAACACACACGCTTATTGTATCAAAATATATCAAAAAATACACAAGACAAAGCACTTAGTAGTAAAAAAATAATTTAACACAAAACAACAGGAGAAAGGAAAGAGTTCAACACGCACACACAAAAGCAAACCTAAGAGCAAAAATGTCATGGTTTTAAAATGAAATTCGATGTATATTAATCATAAATTATACAAAAAACAACAGACTATATTCGTACTACTAGAGTAGTAGTATATATATAAAATAGTCAGCTTGATTGATTAAGAACAAAAAAGTATCAGTAACTCATATAGGTTGCATAAACAACCATAGAAAACATCTTTAATGTGTATCGCAAAAGTAGTGTTCTTTGCCAAATGTTCATACAAATGACGACACACCAGCCACTGGTTTTCTTGATTTAGGCACATTTTGCATCAAAATATGCCCTCCATTTGCACCACCATTTATATTTACACTTTGTACACTGGTCGATTGTGTTTCACTCTCGTCATCTTCTTGCTCACGTATATGATTATTAGACATGTAAGTATACAGTTGTTGGGGTAATTGATACCACGGATATTTTGAACTTTCATTATCAGCACAACTTAAATTTGTCTTCAATGAATATTCATCTAATAAACTTTTATTACTGTTCAAATCATCGTATAACAACGCTGATCGTCGACCATCGAGAGTTGAAGATAAAGGAGCTGGTCTCGGCGGAGTACGTGCACCACAACTATTATTGTATATATCACTAAGAGCTAAACGAAAGTAAATTTTAATAAAACACTGTAATTTACACAGTTCAAGTAGATAGATCTGTATAAGAATTTAATATTCAGCCACACTGTAGTTAATTAAATGTTTATTCCTCACATCGATCATTTGATTTTCTGTCAGAGATTGTAACATATGATGAGTTGTCTACTTACCTAAACTATCACGGTGTAAACTTCGTTTTGATTCTGTTCGTTGAAATGTTGCTGTGACATCATCCAATGCTGTACTCATAGTATTCGTTCGTGATCCTAATTTGTTCTTACGTCGTTGACGGTAACAACAACAACAACAGGTAAGAATTATGCAAACGACCATTAATAAGAGTAAACCGACTAATGCTAATAGAATAAAAAATAGATAACCACTATTTGTAATAAATGTTTTTACTGTGGCAATGATGGACGAAGGCGAGGATGCTGAACGAGGTAAGAGTTCAGTGGAAGTTATCCGTAGTATAGAACTCGCTTCGCTAATACCATAATGATTCATTGAATAAACTCGAAATGTGTAAGTATCGTTTGACGCTTGAGGAAATAACTGTGTATAATCTAAATTATAGAAATTGAAAAAAAAACTAATAATAGCAATAATCCATCAGTTTTCTTATATTTTACCTATATGATAAAGGGATTTTGTTGTTTTATCTAGTTTATTCCATTTATTTTCGTCTGTTGTTACTGAAGCATATTCGAGAAGATAGTATTCACTATTTGTCACTGGTTTCCATATGAGTTCATTTTTTTCATTCGAAAAGGTAAAATCACTTGGAAATGTTGGAGAATTAGGTTGTGGACCAGTTCTGATTGTTTGCTTTACTACTGGTCCACATACTATGGTACATGCACATATTTGAAAGTCGTACAATTGTCGAGATTCTAAATCATCAATCTTCAAGGACATTGTCGGATATGTAATCACTTGTTTTATAGTTTTTATTAACGTTGAACTATTATTGTTATTATTCTCAGTGTTAGGTAAGGACGAATAAACTAATTCAAATGTTCTCAATAAACCGTTTCGATCTGAGGGCTCTGACCACGATAAATCTAATGATGTATAGGTGACATAAGAAAATATCAATTTTGTAATAAAACTTGGAGGCGCTTCATGTGTTCGAACTCGATTTACCATATTTACTGGTCCATTACCAAACACATTAAAAGTTGTGACGTATATATCATATATTGTATATGGTTTTAAATTCTCTAATAATGTTGAACTTTCATGATTTGAAACAATAATTGTGTTATTCATAATATTTCGTCGCTTTCGTACAATCTCATTGGATGTTTCATTTTCAAACCATTGAATTTGATATCCATTAATATCATTTACTCGTGTCCATTCAAGATTAATTTGATTTGAACTAATTGGTTGTGCTGAAACTAATTCAACAGTTTTATTTGGAGAATATTGATTTAAATGAAAATATTTTGCGTGCGATAATGGACCGTCCCCAACAGAATTTGTCAAACAAATAAATAGAATATAAACTGATTGAACAACGACAGATGACGAACAAATATTTGACATATGAATAGAAGTGTTTGTTATTGGAAATAGAACAGTTTCAAATGTTTCAGAACTCAATTGTTTATAGAGAATTTTTAACTGCATAGCATCGGATCGGTGGGAATTGAATTGCTGGAAAATGAAAGACAAAAATGACGCACACTAAATTCTCTCGAAGACAAATGTTAAATCAATTTTTATAGTGCTTCTTCCAAGTTACCTTTATGTGTAAATTGATTTGACATGGATGTTCTCTGTTTATTTCATCAATTTCTAACTTTAAACTTGGTACTAAATAACATAAAGTCACACTATAGTCACTGATAGTAAAGTAAATGTGTAACTTACAAGCTTCTTTCGTCGTGATAAAATTTGTTGGGCGACTGTAGTCACTGATACCAATATCATTTTGTGCTGCTAGACGAAAACGATATTTAGAATTTGGTTCGAGCCTAAAGAATGAGAAAATAAGGAAGAGTTAAATAAAATGGTATGTACAATTTTATTACCCTTTGATTAACAGAGAGGTTATTTGTCCTTCTGGTTTTTCTTTGTAATTATACCATTTATCAGCTATTTCATATTGTATTATTGAATATCTAATCGGACTATAGTTAAAATCTAAAACAACAGTGTAACATTAAAATCGTCATTTATCAAAAATGAAAACAAGCAATACCAGAATCTTTACGCCAATTTAAAACCAATGTTGTTGAATTAATTGATGTTTGACTGATAATCGGCTGATATGGTGCTGATGGGCGATCTTAAAATAAAATTTGTAAACATTTATGTCTTATTTATCTTAGTTTAGAAAGATTATTTCCTTACTTTAACTGATGAGGGAAGGCCCTCAAGCGCCACGCTGATTTTCGAATGCGATATATACCAGTTTGTAGAGCTCAATGCGCTGATTACGATGGCATAAGCCGTTTTTCCTCATAGGCCTTATCTGAAGGGCCACGTCGATTTTACATTTTAAACGGTTACTCTAACATACTTATTGGAAGACTTGGATTTCAAGGATATTATAGCTTCAAGCGGTCGGGTTTTTGCCATTGGATGCGTCGTATTCGACTGTATATTCTCACATGTTAAACTAAAATAGAGGGTCTTCACTTTGCATATTTCAATATCACT